AGAGATAATTAAATCTTACTATTATTTCAAAATTTTGATCAAATATAGGGTATAAAATGCGATTTTCGTATTAGCTACCGGACTAAATCCTGGAAAAATCCGACTGGAAACATCAATTTGCACATGTGTAATTAATTAAATGACTAACTTTTGTTTCTTCGAACAAAACGTTTTCTTTTTGGACGTATAAAAATGCGGTTTGTGCAAGAAATTGGCTAATTAAATTTGTAGCCCTATCTCTGAAAGTCCTCGACGATTCGTTCGTTGGCAATTGCTTTTCAGAGAGCCGAGTTTTGTGCTACAAATTTTACTATTTCAACTTACACTGTGGTATCAAATAAATGTTATCAGCACCTTGTCTGCCAGTCAAAGATTTTTTATGACTACTTTGACCCTGTTATATAAAAAGTTCTATTGTATTTATGGGCTAAACAATTTAATCTTAATCGCACTAAAGCGTACGAATAATATATAATGCTTCCCCAAAAATAATAAGAAATAAATGAGTTGGGGTATACTTCGTGTAGTTTAATATTCCAGAGACGTCACAAATTAAAACGCAAAGTACCCAAATCAAAACTCCACAACATATACAAGTAGATGAAATAAACTCAAAAGCAACCAATTTAATTAGTTATCACATAATTTCTTTAAACTCATTACGCAGTTATACGAAACTATAAATTTGTTTTTTGAATTAACACGCATACGACAGCACACCACTGCACCTTCTGGCACTTTTCTAAAAGTCTCATCTAGCTGGCAATGTCTCAGGCGCTCCCTTTAATTAACAGAAAGTGGTTCATTAGAGCTTATTCATTAAAGCAACGAGTAATTAGCAAACTCTAATGAATGCTGTAATAATCTAACAGTGAGTGTACTCTCTACTTATAGAGTGTATTTTGTCTGGTGCAAATTGCTCCAGGAGATGCAGCATCATAACTGCCAATGTTTCGCCTATATCGAATAATTATTAGGGCTTGAGATTTTTTAATGAGCGTGCAAACATCTCAACTCAGTACCATCAGATATATTTATTATTTTATTATGCCATATGCTTTATCTTAAATTTGCTGCAATATTTCCTCCTTGTGAGGTTTATTAACATTTAAGTTAGTGATGAACTGGTAAAAATGAGACAATTCTATAGGAAAATCGCGTTAAAGTGAGGCCGCAAACTCGCAGAGACGCAGAGCAATCACGTCATAATAGATCGAATATTAGTGTTGAATCGGGTGCAATGAGACAGAACTTAAATTCAACCATCACGTAATATTATGAGAATATACAGTCGCTGGCTGATTGACCTGTTGTTGGCAACCTTGGTTTGGTTATTTCATCGGCCTTTCTATACAATCAGCGAGGATAATTCCACAATTCAAAGCTCATCAACGACACATTTCATCCTTAATAGAAAGTTCTTGTTCTGGCAACCGCGTATCCGTCATTTGCTCTTCGGCGTTGACGCAAGCCCATCCAATCCTCCGATGTAACGTAGGGTTGGTATACTAAAATATATTACGCATTAGCGATATTTATGATTTAAATTGTGTAGATAGGTACTTGATTTTGGTATTCTTATAAATTTTTCCTTCTTTCCATATAGCACATGTAAAAGAGAAAGTATGCCGAGAGAATCGATGTTTTGTCGATGCGTTGATGAATTAATGATCTATTTTTTAGTTTAATTTGCATTTTTCTAGTCCTATAAGTCTCACGTTACAGTTTGTTCATTTTTTTTTTATTTCGATGCAGACATTTTATATATCTGCACTTACATGATTCATTTAAGCATGATAAAACTAAAGTCTGATAATTAGAGGGTCGGTGGATAGAGCGTCGCTGAACTTTGCAACAACAAACCGGTATCCAATTCGAGTAATTATAGCCCGTACTCAAGAATCCTGCCGAGTGTTCGAGGATGGGATGCCTTAGCAAGGCGGATTCCGCAGATAATAGGTCAGTCCCGGTATTTAATTAGTGCTAATTGGTAGTCGTAATTAGTATTAGAACTAAGACTTTACAAAGCAGTTTAGAAATCCTATAGCTTCCGCGCCGTACCATTCACTCACTTAGTTTACAGAATACTTTGTCTAGTTCTCATTTACTAATACCTTTCAGTTTCGGCTCGAACGGCGAAAGCGAGAGGGGAGCCGTCTGTTTTGGCTTAATTACTGAATAAAGTTCTCTCATTATTACGTTATTTGATTATTTAAACCGAAGCCCTTATTTTACTTAATACAGATTCATTCGTATTCATTAGAACAGTCAAGTAAAACATTTATTAGCAATCATTGCTGAAAGCATTATTCATTATGTTTCATCCACCAGTACCTATTTCATTAAATCAATTTTTATGTTGCAATTTAAATAAGCTACTGATTAAACTTTTGATTTATTAAACATAAAATAGCTACATTTCAACTTAAGCGCTGTCGTTTTCATATACAAAAGTCCGAAATTTCCTAATCTGGTTATCCTGGAAAAGGTCCGGCGAAATCTACATTTAAAACAATATTGTCTAATCTGTTTAGTCCACGAGAAAAATAAATATCGCGCCCTTAATTCTGAAGTAGAATTTCGGTGCTTAAAGGGCTTAATACGCTCCACTACGTGCGTCCCGCTGTTATTAGAAAACATGCAAATGTCGAAAAGCAACAAAAACTCGGTCCGCGCGCTCTGTTAATTTTTCCTTCGGGCTTAAAAATTAAAGGAATTAGAGAGGTTTTCACTTCAATGTTAATCCCACGAAGAAATAGTCGAAAGAACAAAATGTTATAAATTTTCGTTTAATGGGAACCGATGTCAAACAGATTTAGAGAGGATTTTGCGTTTATTTCAACTTTTACTGTATTTATATGTGGTGTTTAAAAATGTTGAGTTTAATCGCTTCATACGTATTTTTGTGACTAAATTTTCAATTCTTAAATTTTAGGTAGAACTGTACTTTTGTTCAAAAAAAATTAAACAAGCGGGTTAGAGATTGATGAAAATCAATACCGCGTAAAAAAGTAATAACGCATCGAACGCGGAGAATTCGATAATTTTCATTAAACAAGTAATGAAAGAGTGGCGTTATTTTTATTGGAATTTTTAATTAGTTCCGGTCCCGTTTCAATATTGAAAAATACGTTTTGATTAATTTAGCATATGACGGTAACAAAGCACCACATGTGTGTTGTTTCCAGGAGTAATCGTGATTAAATATTGATTTTACAGTTACTTTGCATATTGCAACCTACACCTAATAGTCGAGTCGCTTAGTCAAATTGACATTGTCAATTTATATGAAATTGAAAAATGTTGTAATTACCCTTGGCGATTATACTAAATAATTTATTAGTTTATTTGCTAAAAAATTATTTCATTAAAACTTGATTGTTTTAACATACTCGTAGTATCTACCTACAACTTGCTCGGTTGTGTGGGTATACTAGAAAAGTTATAAATAACTAGGAAATTAGCTTTGGGCGACTGTACTATTCCACATCATAATATCGAAACTTTGTTGGTCTTCTAACACTAAACCAAAGTTTCATAATGAAACGTTAATTAAAAGATTTTAAGTTATTAATTAAATTTCTTAATAAAACTTCCAGCTGGAATTAGTTATGAGAAAAGCGGTATTTCCCTCATGTAGATTAAACAAAAAAGAATTACCAGTATAACCATAATTAAGGTAAATGCTTGTAATAATTGTAGTAGGTATTTGTTTGGATAAAATCGTAAATTTAATTAAACATATTTTTGCAATTTTAGTGATGTTAAAACTAACGAAACTAAGCAAATAGCTAAAAGATTTATGAATAAAACGCCTTTATCTTCGATAAAGTGTTAAATGAACTATAAACCGCATTTTATAGTCCTCAAGGAAATGAAAATTAATTACAAATAAAAGTGTTAAAGTTAGAGCCAGTAATCAGAATTCCTCAAGAAGCTGTTAACTGCTATTGTTCTAAAGATAACGTTAAACATCATTTTTATTGCTCATAATCTAAGTTTATTAGACCTTTTCGAATACAAACGAAAACTAAGTTCTTTGCTTGGAATCAAATATTCTACACCTTGTATCTTGAATTAATCATAATATATTCAAAAATGATTATTGTACAAGAGAATTTGTAAGTTAAGTTGTGTGTTAAGAAAGGCATCAAAAATAGAGCTATTGCAAGTGACATATTCTATAAGTTTACCTCTATTTGTTGTCTGTAAAAGAAAATATAATATTCTACTTCTTTATTTACGTTGCGAGATTGCTCAATTAGAAAATTCGACGTTTGATACAGTATAGCGGCTCCGAATTCCCCGCGTCCACGTCCACAAGCCGCCCCCAAATTAAAGACTCCCAACACGCACGTCGCTAATCCCTCACTAACGAGACGTTCATTTAGGAGAGAACCCGGGGAAACCCTAATTATCGCCGAAAATACTGAACTACACACATCCTCCTTCAGCGGCGCGTCCTATGAGGGAGATGGGATTGTTAATAAATGCAGGAGATTCTCTTCTCAACATTTCCGAGGTACCTCGGGATTTTCTACAGCTTTACTAAACTAATATTCTAAGTTGCCCTAGTTTACAGACTCTCTACAAATTCACCTGGCATAAACTGAAAGTACCAATAAAGGGAACAAAGATAACAACGTATCTGTTTAAAAAATCTTTTGCTCCGCCACTGTCCAAGCAAACACTACATCATTTAACGATTCTCCATCTCCGTCGTTTCGAGACCCGCACGTACCACCTGCCATAATTTAATGATAATTAGTGCACGGGATACACCCCTGCTCGCGGGGTTGTCTTTGCACGCTTGTTATTTTGGATCTAGTTAGCGATGATTTGATGAAACCAATTACGAATACTCTATGCATGTCCGAAATTCAATTTGGATGATTAGGAGATGCGTTAACGAACGCTCTAATTACTTATGCAATTCCTTCTCACGGAGAAAAATTCACCAACTGAAGAGTTCCAATCCATCGAAGAAAGTACACAACTCTCGCTGACTGTGATGGTCATGTCCTTTTATATTGTCAGTAGAACAGGAACGTCATTTAATTTAAATGAATGATTTGAATCAATTTTTGGTTAGACGTTTGCCTAGTTTTTTATAATTTTTTTGTAACAAAGAGAATTACGGAGAATGGCTGACGATACGGAGCAACAGACGCCGTTGATCGCAGAGGAAGCTCTAACAGAAGAAAAAGTTTCTTTTATCAATGAAGATGAGGCGGTAATAGAAGATTTAATAGTTAGCGAGGGTAGGCGAATTCTTCAATATGCAAGGGCGCAAGCAGTAATTTAATGTGTACTTTCAGGAGAAGTACAAGGTGTTGCTGAAGAACTCCAAATTGCAGAAGATGGAGAAGAAGAAGGTGCCGAGAAAAAAGGTGCTCCATCTCCATCTTATGGAATGAATTGGAGGGAATCGATGATGGTCAGTAAAAAATAAAAAAACATATTAAAAAAATCATTTTTACATTCGTTTAGGCACAAGATAAGAGAATCACAATATTTATACCAGAAACTTCGATGTTTCCTAAGGACGAATCTACACGAATTAGCGGCGATTTTCTACCAATTCCTCCTGACAGAGATCCTTACCAATTACCAACATTAATGATCGACAGTACGCTTACAAATTGTATTAAATCAGTTGCACTAACATAGTTGATTCGCTTCTAGCAATATCTGAAGAAGAAGAAGAATCCATACCAGAAATTCAAGAAGTCGTAGAAAGGCCGTGGTTGGCTGCGCCTCAAGAACCCACAGATTATACCAGGCAAACAGCGATGGCGAAGTGTGTGCGGTTATTACATTATTTGACTACTTTGAGAGTCAGAAATACCCTATTAGAAAGAAGCATCGTTCAGTATAACTTAACGAAAAATATTAGAAACCCTTACGTTGATCTTTCTCTGCACCCGGAAATATTGGAGAGCTATAACGCCAAATTAGATGAGCTCAATAAATTGGAAAAAAAGCACGCTGTTGTATGCAAAATTAGATCAAATGAGGTATATGATTGACCAAATATTAACCATAAAAATATACAAATTAAAGTCGTATTTTGGTAAATATTATTAATTTTAACAAATCTGTTCCAGATTGATAATCTTCTTCAGAAACGAGAGGATAAGAAGAATAAATTAGATACTCACTTTAAACAGTTTCAACAAATAGAGTACGATATAGCTAAAGGTTTATATTACAGAAAAACGGGCAAACCTTTGCCGGAAAATAAAATTGTTTATTATCTCGAGAGGCAAAAGAGATACTTCCAGGAAGTCTGCGAATTACGAATGGATTTATATCGGAACAAGTGAGATTATTGGAAACATATTCTCAAATCGAATTAATTTGATCTAATTTCGTTTGCAAGGGAGAAATTTGCCGAGAAAGAAAAGGAAATTGAAAATCTCAATTATATTGACGGTCTATATTTGGGCGATTTCGAGGCGATGAAACTAGAAAATCGAAATTTCCAGGATAAAATTGAGCAAAAAGATGAAGAATTGACGGTGCTTAGGGAAAAATGTCGACAATTGGGTCAAATAATAGCCCATGCTAGGGAAAAATCGAACGCTATGACATCGGATCTGGAGGATTTGCAATTACATAACGATGAGTACGACTGAACTAATATTTGTAACACCTTTTTTAAAACAAATTTTCAGATTATTTTACGAGGAATTTAAAACTAGGAAAGGGCTGACTAGAATGAAACAGGAACGAGACAAGTATAGGTTAAATTTACAGAAATTAAAGCAAGAAAGCGGACTTCTGGGCGAAACTGCTCTATTGCGCGACATGGAAGACTCTTTGGAAGATGTTGAAGTACTCAGAGCAGAGTTGAAACAACTTCAGGTAAGTTTGTCCACTTTAAATTTATCTAAATATTTTGCTATTCCCGTACTTGAACAATACCATTAATAGGATACATATGCTATGAACAACAAGCACCTGAGAAATTTGCGTAAAACTATCGAAAAACTGGATAGAGTGAATTATGTAAAAGAGACAACGAAGGAAAAAAGAGATAAGTTCGTTAAATCAAAACCCAAAACGAAATCAACGGTGTCTGTGCCATTCCACGCAACTAGTACAACCAAAGAATTATCAATTGGCGTAAAAAAAATTGTTTGAATCCATTCTAAATCTCAATTTTTCCAAATTTACCATTGTGTATGATGCAACGAGAGATTAGATATAATTTTTGTAATTGTACATATTATTGTTTTGTATAATGTTGGTTTTTAATAAATTATTGCCAAATGATACTGCACATAAACAAATTAACGCAATTTTATTCACAATCGCAAGTGATACAGAATTTTGATACCGATAAAAATCGTTAAAATGGAATAAAACGTTCAATGAATGTAACTTGATGAAACACCGGAGCCTCGTTTATTACTGTATTGTCACGAATCACGGATGAAACATTTTGAAGGTAATACCCGTCCCATTCGCTAATTCACGCTTTATTGATAGATTGATTGTTTGTTAATGGTGTATTAAGCTAATACAAATTTTGATAAAGTTTCTGATAAATGTTAGGTACTCTTAGGTCACATTCTATCACCTCTTGTTAAGTTTCCTGTAATCAAAATCAGTTTATTTTCTTACGAAAAATTGCGCTTTGTATAAATCACTTCGTACAAGGATATTTTATATTTACTTAATTATTATTAGCATCTAGGAGCATATTTAAAGCATCCTGCTCAACTGTTTGTGTATGTTTGCATAGAATTAGCGAACTCCCATTTTGGGGAAATATCGTCGGTGCCTAATTATAAGCATAACTCCCTGTAATTGCTCCGTGTGATGTTTACACGAGTTCCATAAATTTACATTCGGCTGTCACCAAGGTATTGTATACTTATTGCTACAGGAACAAAGGGTCACCATAAAGAAGTTTCCGGAAATTACATAATGAATAACTATAATTAACGAATACCTGAGGTGATTGATATATTGAGTATATATTGAGTTTATATAATATCATTTTAAGGTTGTCTTGGTTCCTTAATGCGAAATGGTGTTTTTAATTTAAAAGAAATACAATGTTTGAGGGATTTATGACACAATTTTCCGGTAATAAAGCTGGTAATTTAAGCAATTTTATCTCTAAAATAACATATAAGTAAACCGTTTTGGATTAAGCGAGTTTATCTAGTAAAATTCAGTTTGATTCACCGCGCACTGGCGGGGAACTTGCAGGGAAAACTCGTTATCAAGTCGGGATCGTCAAATATTATTATTTGTTTTAATTAACAATATATACACTGAGAAAGGGAGATATTTCGTTAATTAGTCGGCGGCTAATTAACGCGGGAGTTATATTGGAGCCCACACGAGGCGCTACAGCCGCCGCCGCCGCCACGCTTCTCTCTTCGCCCGAATTTATCTTTTCTCTGCTTTAATTGAAAGGATTTTCTTACATTGTAGGTAAGTTCGTAAATTGGTTACGAAATAAATTTATTTAAACGCATGGGATAAATACAGGGCGATTTTTGCACGTAAGAAAAAACAAGACGGAGAATTTAATAAGCTACGATCGACGCCTCGTTGCTGTGCCGAAGAAGTTTATTGATGTTGTAGCCAGAATAATTCATAAAAATCCAATATAAACGCGTTATTATTTTTCAATCAGTATAAAGCGAACATGGAGTCGAGAGGAAAAGCGAGTTAGTGGATATGAAAATGCGATTTGATTGATTGGCGGACGTGCCTGGACTGAAGGAAGCCAGAAATCGGCCTCAGAAGTCCCCATTATACTCTCGCTTTGACTCACACAATCATCAGCAGGGCCGTTTTAACGAAAACTTTCATATGCCTACCTATCCAAGTATCTAAAAGTATATGTAATTTCTGAAAAGAAGGAAATATGAAACAAATTACATTCGTTAGGAGAGCGCAGATCCTCTTCATATTTCAAAGGATACAACAGCAAAAACACAACAAACTATACGAATGATATGAAGGAAGTAAATAAAAAAGAAGAATTTTACTTAAAGTAACAATTTGGTGAACTTTTAGCCCCTTGAACGCAGCAAAAACCGAGCCTGGTTCATTCGTTGCTGCTTTCAGAGGGCTCTATCAAATCAAATAAGATTTGTCGGTTTCTCGAAGGCATCGAAGGCCGAAATGTATTGATGAGAGAAAAGTATCGACTGGAGTGGTACACTATGCCACTTTCCTTCGATCTAATTGCCAATTAATCGTATTTGTTAGTTTTGCACTCATCTTACCCGTTTAATTTATTATTAAACGATTATATATTATCTAACTGTACCTATTTATTGCTTACGTACCGGGTGTCCCACGCCGTGGGTTAAAGGCAATGACAATCGGTCAAAGGTAAAACCATAAAACACGAAACATCAAAAACTTTTGCAGAATGGACATTCATTTTTTTAAAACAAAAATTACCGAAAAATTGTTACGTAAAGAATAAATCTTTGTTGGATGCTTGTTTTTTTTATTTTCCCCCGGCATGCTTATTTTTTAGTTCTCAATTCTCAAACAGTGTGAAATCCAATAATTACTAAATGAATAATTACTTAGCTTGGTGTTCCTAATATCATACTTGAAGATTTTTAATAAATTGATTACTGTTGTAAATGGAACAACGCTAATTAGAGCCTTTTATAATGGGAGTATACCAAAAATATACCCAATTTCTAGATTTTTTTCTTTTTTTAAATATATTTTAGGTTAGGAAGGAGATATGGAGATGCGGTTTTCACAGGCTTATTTGGCAATTATTTGACTATATTTCTCCAAAGAAACAGTTATATCGTTGCATTTAATTTTTTTTTAAAAATCGGTGTTTTTAAAAGTGGTGTCGGAAAACGCCCTCTTGCGGCCAAGCAAGTATTTGCAATAGTATCTTATCTAACTAAGGGGTTGAAGAAAAAAAAAATCATTTTATTGGCAACAAATCCGTCCAATATAAAATCAATTCACGTGTTTCAGCGTTTTTTGTTTAAATTACTGGTTCAAAAGATAATAGTTTTATTCCGGACTTTTGCATAACTCTGTATTTATTTATATATCTTACATTTTTAAATATACGTAAAATTTTAGAGCACCTTTATCTAAAATACTTTTTACTAATAATATGCGTAATTTATAAATTATTTTTTACAACCATACATTAGGATTGGAATATGTTTCTGTACGGTGACTACTAGAATGATTAAAGCTTAAAGATTAAAGATTATTTATACCTACATATGTTGATAAACCTCTCAATTGTATACAGGGTGTGTATTAAAATTGTATACAAAGTTGAACTTTGAAAATTCTTCATTTTTTTATGAAACCACCAATTTGTTCCTCTTTCGTTTAAATCACTGCCATGGTAATATGTTCATGTATAATTCTTCTTACCTAAACTTAATAGTTTTGAAGATAATTCAAAAATTTTACATCTCTGCCTTTTTTTCAATTAACTCGATTTTAAAGGTTGACTCTACAGTTATTAAAAATAAATTTACATAATCTTTAATGGTTAATTTCAAACTAGACAAACAAGAACCAACATTTTCTATCGGTAATTATTGTTAAATTATGGCACCACAGAATATTTTAACGTATAATAAATATACACCTTGATATATTTCAGTTTGCAGTTCTGTGAGTTTAATAAAGAAAGATTGTTAAAACAATAGTTGTCAGAGTGAAAAGTTACAATGAGACTATTTGTACATATTTAAAAAATGAAGCATTTACTTTAAAGTAAAAACTTTTGCTTCAAAGCAACAACAGGGTCTTTGAAGCAAAAACTCTATTCCTTCACTTCTTTTTAAAGATATATCTTGAAGCAATTCCTTCATTTTTTGAAGCAAAAGGTTATGCTTCTTTTTATAAATACGGCCTAATATTACACTTTCTTTTTCCTTTATAGGTGTCTAATGGAAGTTACAACATAGCACCCATACCGCTGATATTACAAAATAAAATGATACAATCTGTATAAATACACATATGTACATACTTGTTTTTTATTTACGTCCAAGTTCATATCTTGATCACATGAGTTACTCTATTACCACCTTTATCATATTTCGTTGCTCTTGATAAAAAAAATCAATAAATATAGCATTCGTCGATTTCATCAGTCATAGTAGTCTTCTCCAGTGATGTTGAAGGTAAGTACAAATGCAAATCAAATATTATATATGTTCATTATGAGCAAACTATTAGTAGAAATGTACGCACATTCCCTATTTTTTTAATATTTTTTTTCTATTTTCATTTCGATTAATTTTTATTTGCTTTATTTTAACTTCCATATTCTATCCATACTGAATTTATTAAGGACAATTCATATGGATCAAGTGGAAAAGCTCTGTTAAACTGAATTCTTGTTTTCGTATTTTTAGGACAAAATGATACTTCTAGGCATACTGTTACTTCTAATTAGCACATTTGCTACTAATTCATCTTATAAAATTATTCAAGATGACACCAACGATTTTCTTTTACCTGATATTGTAACACCGTTTAATTATAAACTGAATATCGCATTCTCTAAGGATAATTTAGATAGTAAAAACGACACGTTCGGGGGTAATGTAGAAATATCGTTTTACGTAAAGAAAGAGACGACAACGATTAAATTGCATGCACCATCGAATAAAATAAAAATCGAAATTGGAACTATTGCTGTTAAAGATCAGAAGTTTAACGAAACTACATCTGTACTTACATTAAATTTATCTGAAAAATTAGCACCTTTAACTAAATATGTATTAAAAGCTAATTATGCAGCTGACATCAATACCAAATACATGCGAGGCGCTTACAGAAGCAGTTATAAAAATAGAACAGGTAATGATGAATATTTAATAGCGACTCAATTTGAGCCTACTTCGGCTAGAGAAGTCTTTCCTTGTTTCGATGAGCCGAAGTACAAGGCCACATTTGACATATCTATTACACATCCGTATGGTACTCAAACTTTGAGCAATGCTGAAATGGATACAACACTGCCTAGTGCAAAGTAAGTTTTTATATTTTGTAAATTTTTCGATATACCATAATATTACTCTAACATATTGAAACTGTAAATCTCAATTTCTCTCGAGTGTAAGTAAGACATACTTTATATGAATAAATATAAAAGTAATTAGTTCATAATTGGAACATTATATTTGAAGTGTGATGAGTTATTTCAACTGCATCCTATCTGTATTGCGAACATACGTTGATAAGACTCATAACAACATTTTTTTTTATAAATCAATACAATATTTGATGTTATCGGTTAAAGCAGGTACTTAAAAAAGATAATCCAACATCTAAAAATTTAGTTATTCATATACGTATAACACATGTATATAAAATTCTGAAAATGCTTTTAATAAAATTTAATCAAATAGAATGAAATATTACAATACTTTTAAATCTCGATTTTCATGGACTCATATTAATTTTGATGACCTAACATTTTATATCATGCATTTACTTATTACACATTTAATGTATTGAATTTTTACTTGTTACTTTTATGAATTTTATTATTTATTTATCGATATTAATAAATTTAGGTAGATTATAATTATTATGCATTGCTGTAATGAGTTATATGTAAAATTTTTATCTTTAGAGACACCGTTGTTACCACCTTTAAAGAAACTAAAAAAATGTCCACGTACCTTGTTGGTTTCATTGTGACAAAATTTACTTTCGATACAGTAAAGGAATCTGGAGTTACTTATAAAGTTTGGTCAAGAGATGAATTGAAAGGTTATAGAAAATTTGCTTTGGAATGGAGCAAAAAAATATTACTCGCTTTGGAAGCTTTCACTGGAATTAACTACGCTACCAGCAATACTAAATTAGATCAAATCGCTCTTCCTGATTCCCAACCTGCAGGAATGGAAAATTGGGGTTTGGTCACCTACAAGTTAGTCAAACTCTCCGATTAACTTCTTAATTTTACTCAAATATATGCGATATTTCAGGGAAAAATCGTTATTATTTAACGGAAAAGAATCATCAAACTTTACTCAACAAAGCATATTGGAAACCATGGCGCACGAATTGAGCCACCAATGGTTCGGAGATTTAGTAACATGCCACTGGTGGGACGATGCATTTTTAAATGAAGGTTTCGCTACATATTTTCAACATTACCTTCTGGGTGATATTGTAAGTATTATTTTTTTATTGCAACTGAAATAGGTGCAAATAAGTTTTTTTAAATTTTAGATAAACGAATTGTCTCCTTGGGAAATGGACAATCAATTCGTAGTTGACAAACTGCAACCGGTTTTAGTAGATGATGCATTGAAAAACGATGCTTTAACAAGAAAGGTAATTCAACCAGAAGATATTCGATCAAAATTCGACTCTATTTCGTATAATAAAGGTACTGTTGCCACTTTTTCATTTTTGTTGCACATTCTTAATAATCATCGAATTGTTGTAGGGGCGAGTATAATAAGAATGATAGCGAATGTTATGGGCGAAAGCGCTTTTAAAGCTGGTTTGAGAAAATATTTGAAGACAAAGTAGGACTACTCACATCTCTTAATTGACAATTTCTAACGTTATTTATTTTTCTTAAACAGGTCATATTCAAACGCTTCTCCTTCTGATCTGTTCAATTCTCTGGAAAATGAAAAAGTTAACTTGCCCCAAAAAATTGGAGTCCTAATGGAAGGTTGGTTCAATAATCCAGGATATCCGATAATTACCGCAACACAACAAGACGAAGATCTTGTTTTAAGCCAGGTAAATTTCACATTATTACAGGTGGTAATCGGTTTTTATGAAACTTATTATTTTTCTAATTTAGAAACAATTCAGTTACAATAATGACGACAAAGCGAAACATGCTAAATGGTACATTCCTATAAGTTATACACTTCAATCGGATGATGCTAAATTTTCATCACCAGCACCGAGAGTATGGGTAGATCCAAAAAAAGATTTGGTGATTAAAGGTGCTTTCAGCGGAAAGTCTGCAAATGATTGGGTGATCATCAACAGCCTCGTCAGCGGTAAGATCTTGATGTATGATCACTGCAACTCTTGTTTAATTACGCGGCATTTTTAGGGTACTATAGAGTAAACTACAATGGAACGCTATGGCAGAGGATCGAAAAGCAGCTTCGCGAAAATCACAAAGAAATCAATCGTCTCAACAGAGCCCAAATCGTCGATGATATATTCAATTTGGCGAGATCCGATAATGGCTTGCAATATTCCCAAGTTTTCTCCTATCTTGATTACCTGAAAAACGAAACTTGTTATTATCCATGGACAGCAGCTCTTGCTTCCCTAAATTTCCTGATAACCAGAGTTGCTAATCAAAAACCTTTAGGCAAGTATTGCATCCTCAAAGTATTTACAATCGAACTGAAAGTTTTTTTATAGAGACAGCTCTCCATCAAAAGAGTTTGGAATTGATGTCGGGTGTATACAACAGTCTTTCGTTAAATTCCAGTAAATCCGATACGCAAATTACCCTGCTGAAGAGAAAACTGATTTTTAGTAACGCTTGCAAATTTGGCGCCGAAAATTGTACCAAACAAGTTAAGAGTTTATATGATGCTTTCAAAGCAACTAGCCAGTAAGTATGTGATGTTTTAGATTATTAAATTTCATGTTTTTGAGTTCTTTCAACAATTCAAACAAGTATTTCATTACATAATTCAATTTTTAAACTTATCAATACTCAAATTAAAATACAAACATGAAAAAATTAAAAAAATAAGATAATGACAAGCATTTTTTAGTCGTTATCTTGTTATTATAAGGTTCAGTAAGTAATTTATATATTTATTCAGATAATAATTGTTTTTATTTTAATTAAAAAAATTATCACTTGAATTAAATTGCATTCCAAAACCAAATTAAATTCATGTTTGTCACTTTTTAGACCAATTGACAGGAATTTAAGGAACGTTGTATACTGTTACGGTCTTAGGCAATCCCAGGATGATAAAGACTGGGAATTTATGTGGAAATTATATAAGGAAACTGAATCACCCAGTGAACAAATTGAAATACTTGAAGCTCTAGGTTGCACCTTAAACGACAAACAATTGAACAAGTTAGTAACAAATAATATCAATAGTATGGCGTTAAATTTATCTATTAACTTAAACAAAATTTTAGTTATTTAGATTTGTCATTGAAAATATCAGAAATCCATAAACAAGATCTACCCACAGTCTGGAAAGCGGTATACAGTAACTCTCAAGAAGGCGCCAAAGTTGCTTTGAATTATTTAATTGCCAATCACGCAGCTATCAAGGATTAGTAAGTATTACATATTTTTAAGTAGTTTCTATTGATTCATTCGCATGTACAATATTTTGAGAGCATGAGTATAATACATTTTTAATAATAAATGATAATATTTTAGTTACCCCAATGCTGAAAATCTGTTAGTAGGCATGGCATCTCACGTTATTGACAATGACGGAATACAAAAAGTAAGTGTTTTAAGATGAAGTTCTGTTTATTTTAAAAATTTATTTCATTATTATTTTAGTTGAAAGATTTCGTAGCTAAAGCAGATGTAGACGAATCGTACAAAAAAGCAGGAAGTTTAGCGATTAAAACCGCAACAGAAAACGTAAATTGGATTCAAAAGAGACGTACAGATCTAGAATCCTATCTACAATTAACTAGTGGTAGTACAATTACGACTACATTCTCGTGTTTAATGCTAATAACTGTAACTCTTTTTAATTATATGACAGTATAAAACTAAATAATATTAAGATTATTATAAGATAATATAAAATAAATGTGTGTATTGCTTTAGTAGTCAATAAAAGTAATATAGAAAAGTTTTTCTTGATATATTTCAAATGGCAACGATTTTGACTGAATTAAAATGTGAGTTAAACTTGTTGGACACATTCTTTGTATCTTCTGGTAAAACTTCCCTCTCCACGTTATTGTGAATCGGGGAAGTTTCACCGTGACGTAATTCGACAGAACAAACTTGTAATCGTTACAACAGGAATTAAATTTAATGATACCGAAAATTTATTAGAGAGTAAAAGGCAACACAAAAGAACTTTTCTAATTGTTGGAACTTCGCGAACTTCATTCTTGTATTAATGAGGACGCACTGCAATTTCCAGTCGTCAGCTTCTGCGTTTCCCGTTGTTATAGATTACTCTTGAGATAATTAAAAGGAATAGGTATAGATATTCACCATTGTCATTAAAGATAATGATAAGGAATTGATTCGGCGATGTCGCGAATGAATCGTTAATTTGATGTTTTGCTTTTTCGGGCGATTAACGAGAATGAGTATTTCGATCCGAGACGGCAATTTTATTTTGTAATTCGATATTTTTCCTAAAGTATTTATGTAGTAAAACAAATTGAAGAAAATGTAAAAAATACTGAGAATAATTTAATTTCTTTGGGTTCGCTCGAATTATTATGTGTATAAACCTCTACGTTCCCCACATATAAATATTGACATTTCCGAGAGAAATGAATTAAGTAGGAAAGCAGAAAGGTAATATATTAACTAGTTTATATGAAAGTTTCTGCGAATTCGGGTAATATTTCAATAATTAACCAACCAAATAATTCCAGGCTAATCCGCAGTCCCCCGTTTGAACTGAGAACATTTATTTCAGTCGACAGCCGAAACTTGCTCGCATATGATAATTTATTTATTTGAAAGCACTCTTCGTCGCCCCTTCGAAAGTCAAATAGATTTAAGCTTATAACTGTACATTTACTCAGCGTGTATTGTGTACTTAGCCACTAAAACTAGTAGTTAAATTTAATGTAATCTAAACACAATTTGATTAGGTAAACAGCCGTGGCATTTATTCTGAAAATCATTCAGATAAAATTCTGAATGTTCCGCAGTTGATGATGGTGTTTCCGTTTTCCTCTTCAGTTTCGTTGCCTCTTTTTTCTTGGTGTAACAAACCAAGATATTCCATCGCGTTTATCGATATTATAGCTTATATTCTTATAACATGGAATTTAATCGGAAATATCACTCAAGTTAATGGCAAATTACTCTTCGAAGGTATTTTTTAATTAAGTTTATAGCTGGTAAGTTAATAATTATATTAATTCATTTGTAAAATCTAATTAGACTTTGCACATTATTCTGCTGAACATCATAAATTAAAATATCGCAGAATGTGATTATTAGGTATATACGGGTAAGATACCGTGCGGAGAATGGAGGATTCAATCCGGGCCAAGAATTTATGATTAAAGTTTGAACGACTTTGTGCAAAATCGCTTGCAGAGAATTGTGCGCATTCTCTTTATTCAACTGTATCCCCCGTTTAAACCGTTTTAATGTTATTGGTTGAATTTCTGGTAAATTTACAAGGAATTTAGACCGTCAGGATATTTCTCAACTCAATTAAATTCGTATAAAACAAATTGAATTGCTGACGTAGAACGTGTATGGCTCGAAATTTCATTCGGATTTCGAATGTAACACACAAAACGCACTCGGAGTGTTTTTGACTTTTGCGCTTCACGTAAAGTAAATGTTGCATGTAATAGAAATTTCGAACTTTCTATTAAGCAAGTAATTCCAATTTGCAATATAGTATTTCATGAAAATGAAATTACTTGATTTCATTATAACATGTATGCATATCATAAAAGAACCCTTTTAATGTTTAATTCGATGGATTTATTTTAATTTTCTGCTCAAAAATGCATTAAATGGGGGAATGGAAATAATATTTAAAAGTTGGCGATAGCAGGATATTAAATAAATAACAAAATTGAGATTTTTTAGAACGTTTATTGAGGTAGTACGTAGCTTCCTGCCACCATATTGAGATGCTTCGGCTTTCGAGAAATGGCCTACAAAACACGATCGTTACGGCTTTTAGGAGGAATGCGAGCATACATCATTAAGTTTGCAATTACCTCTCGAATGTTATTGCGCTGTAATTGCCTTCATTTCTCTGTTGCCAGATAATTATATGCATACGTAAATTGGGCAGAGTTCGTACGATACGTTTTCAGCAACTAAATTTAACGACGAATCGAGTGATAGAAAGTTTGCAAATATTTCCAAAATATTTTTTACTGCATGTTACAGAACCAACTAAGAAAATAGGTATAGAGTTAAGTATATAACATATTTTTTTGCAATAGTAAAAAAAGTATTTAGTAAAATTCCCTCGTACGAAAAAAATCATTCACAAACTCACTTAAAAAGCACTCCTTCCTAATATTTACTTGTTCCACATGAATTCTTAAAAATTTAATAAAATTCGCATATTTCCTATTCGACAAACTCAATAACGGAACCTTTTCGGTCCTATTAGATTTTATTACACACACACTGAACGTTTATATTACTTCTACAAACATTGTTACATTTATTGAAAGCTCTCATTGATTTTCCAATATGAGGGGTTTACCCTTCACCACGCTCCGATCCTCCGCTTCCGGAGCGATATTAGAATATTTTAAAATGATTACTACATTTCAAGCACAAGGAACTCATAAATTATTGTTAATTTGGTAAAATAATACAGAAATATTGTAGTTTTAGGTAGATTATATGTTTATTCTAGAGTAAGATGTAGGTGGAAATGCATTAGGTGGAAATGTAGGTGGAAATATTTCATTTTCCATTACAGCTAAAAAAGTTCTAATGGGATACAAACTTTTTGACTAAATGAATCTATAACGAAAATCGTTCGTTTTCCTAGTTTCTCCTCCTCATTGATGTTCAGTCTAAAACCGATTCAAATTCAATCCAATCAGCCTCGTTAGGGGATACCGCCTCAATTCTGTTTAAACTCGCCCTACTATTAGCATCAGCGGCGTGGAAAATCCTTCGTCTCTTTCCTTCCTTATTCTTCTCCAAAAATTAAAAACTTGTTCCAATTAAATTTACACCATTAAATAAAAGAATCATGCACTACTATTTATAGCAGATATTCAATAATTTTTGATCTGGTGTCAATGGCCCGTATTCAGCGCCCCATTTTAACTTAAACACGACTTTAAAGTCGCATCTATAACTTGACAGTTGTACATTGTTGTTATGGAGTAACTAAGGACTTTATTTACATTTAAGTGACCCTTTAGAGCTATGTTTAAGTTAAAAGTGGGGCGCTGAATACGGGCCAATATCAGTAAAGCGGTAAGGAATTTATTTAGTATGTGGAAATGAATGATGCAATCAATAATAATAGAATGATCTAACCCCTTAAAAATCAACGTATCGACGTCACTGTCTGAAAATCCTTTCCTCTCTGCACCTCTTCCTCTTTTATACCTTGAATGTGCTCTGATCAACTCCTAATTTGCTTCTTGTCTCCCTGAATCAACTGAATTACGAAAATCCGCAAAATTCTCCTAAACTGAGGTAAAAATGTGTGTACAAAGTCGATGAGGCGTATGTTTAATCTACCGGGGTAGTCACAATTGTTTTCCGGTCTGATAAATCAGACTTATTAGGTATTTCTAGGATGTATTGTACTACTTAAACTTTGAAGGTTGTAGGATTCCAACAACTGGTACTATTAGGTGTTCTTCTAGACACTTTCTCTAGTTAGACGGAATCTTTTTACAAAAGATGGTTCATCAAAATTATCTATATAATTATTTCGTTCATAAATTTGTCGTGCCATGATTAACAATCGTCCTCCAACCGTGTTTCCAATTTTCTTCCATGATTGTCGATTTCAATATACATTTTTACTATTTATTATTATTTACAGGTTATATTTTGTATTCACAGATTTGCAACATTCTGAATTCCAATTTTGACATTTTTAGTGGTTATCTGTGGGAGGAACTACTAAGTCGTATCTAATAAGTCGTACATTTTCTACCGTTTAACTTAAACGCACCTTAACATTTTTAAATCCCACTCATAACACTGATGCAATGAAATATCCGTCACCTAAAGGGTTAAACTTTACTTACAATTTAAGTGAATGTCGTGCAATCGGGCATAAGTGGTGTGGTATAATAATAACGAAAGTAATAATGAGAAAAAAACTGTTTGAAATCGCGAATTTGCAACGAAAAACAGCGGGAAAGGACCGAACCGTTCCAATCGGAAAACATCAGAGCCGTTTAAGCGTTGGCGCAGCGGAGAAAAGCCGCGTTGGCAGCGTTAGCTAGTCGCTAACCACTGTCAAATTAGTTCAATAAGAAGTAGTCCACGCGTCGCAGTCATTATTATCGGTAGATTGGAATTTGCATACTCCGCTAAAGGAGATGTGTCTTCATTTGTCGACGCCGGCGGCGCCCGCTAAGGGGCACTTTACGTCGTTCGGATAAGGGCGGCTCAAAACGCCCGCGTATTCCTGCCACATCGAATTCGAATTCGAGAGGTTTGCCTACATTTTACTGCGTAGGTAACACATGACAAACACATAATTTTTTCCCCGTTTTTTTTTTTAACAATGCGATTTCTATCTAAATTGCGATATTTTGTTTTGTTATGACAATAAATTTATTCGGCGAAATATCTTACTGGTCAAAATTTTTAGAAACCTTTTAACAAGCATTCCCTTCTTTACGTTCCCTAACCCTTAGGTAATAACGCAAAAAGGCCAAATACACGAACCTGTCCTTATTTATTATTGACCATTTCTAAAAGATCATTATATTTTCTTAGCCTATTGCTCTTCAATATCCACTCAACAGAAAATGTAAGCAGGAATATTTTCTAAATATGCATTCTAGTAGTCCTCTTGACCATTCTCGTCCTCCTGGGATCACGAGCATAACATGGCGAGCCGCACAGGATTGTACTATTAAATTTTTTACAACTCCAAGTATAACCGTTATTAATTATAAACCAGTCCTTAGACAAGATTCATTTAACAAAATACAATCACGTAACCAATTATTGAATACAATTTTAATAAACCATCAATGTGTATGAGGGAGTAAAATGCACCCTTCCACTCAATTAATCTGATTAATATACTACTACAAGTACTAATGTATCAAATAAACTTAATTAATTAATTCGCTAATTTATTTCAATTATTAAATTGATTACTTACGTAATAAATGAGCAAAACTATTTAAAATTTATCTATTTAGTAAATCGAATATCACAGTAATAAATCTAAAAAAATTGATATATTAAGATTCAATATATTACATGCAAGCACTTATGTTTTCAGTGACATGTAATCTCGACCGGGAATTAAATTGGATAAGTTAAAGTCCGATCCTGCGTTGATCGACGGCATTTGAAGGGGTAGTTCGTTTAAATATGCCTTCTCAAAATGATGCAAACTTCCACTTGACGAAACACAATTCAGCGGACCTCGTTATATTGTATCGGCTATTTATTTTTCAATTTATTGTTACTTTTATTTGGCATTTGCTTGGCCAAAACACGGGCAGATTTGCGAAATAACGAGCAAATAATTTAATGACGGAAACCCAATGAAACGTAGAAGCGGCATTTATTTAAACATGCCTAAAATGGTTGGTTATTGATTGACTACGAACAATTGATGTATCTTTTAAACAACTTGTTTTATTATAGTATTTTGGACGATCAAAATGCGAGAAGGTGGAATACATTTTCATTAATAAATCATCAAAAACGGGTGAAATTATATTAATCCTTCAAGCGACTGTTCCTAAATGATTCTACTAGTACAATGTTACTAAATAATACCGTAGGTATAACATTTCTCTTCGCCATAGCCTGTCGGAGTGTGCCCTAGGTTATACAAAATTAACATTCTCCAACAGATCAACTTGCTGCTGCTAATTAATTAAAATGGCCTATCAAAATTTTATTAGACAACTAAGTCGTTGTTTCGCATTAAATTATTCAGCGATTGATCTGAATTTACCACAAGACGGACGTGTTATAATATTATCCGGAGATTTGAATTGTTTGCTAACTTTATAAACTATTTATTATTGTAGGTTTATTCCACTAAACATTTCTAATCAAGTGCAATAATACAAAGAAAAAGAACGCAAACAATACATCGTACACGTATATATTTACAAATTAAATTCTTACATTATTCCTACCACCATATTTTACATTACCTTCTCCGCAGTAATTTTTATCAACAACCACTTACAGTAATGAACACAAAAAAACCAATTTCATTAAAATATTCGACTCTAATAAACGAGCGGACTTTCCGTCTAAAAATCCAAAACCATTTCATAATTAAATTATAATGATCGGAATGAATTTTACCCAAGAAGTAGTGGACTACTGAGAGTGCAGACTGCGAGAGATAGGAGATAATGGAGAGGTCGACTACAACTTCAAGATATACGAGTGTTCTTGATTCGAGAGGCCTGCAGATCGTTTGCTAACAAGACTCAATTTGGAAGAAATCTGAAACAGATGAGGTCTGCGAGTAGATGCAATACGAAACTGTTAATTTATAGGATTCATTAATTACGAATTCATCGAAAATATGCTTATAATTAGAAGACAAGAATGCTTTACGAGTAGGTACTGCACTAAGAATATAATTTACGTTATTTTCATATTCAAATATTTTTTCACTAAATTTAGACTGTAATTTCAATAGGTACAATGTTAATAGAACCAGTAGTATTTTATACACATGATACTTGAACTAGGTGACTAAATTATCAACTATCGCCTCGGAAAGTAAAGCTGTTCTATTTTCCTAATTAATACCATTATAAATTAATATCATTGACACTAATAAACTTCGTCAGTACACGATCGCCCTGGCATTATCAATTAAATTTAACAAACGTATACATCATTCGAAGTTAAACCCCAAAAGAGCATTTGCGGAAAACCATCAACCACGATTTTATACCGGCAGGTTTGTAATTAGAGAAAATAATTAATGTTTTTGATTGATTTTAATTCGATAATTCAAAAGGTAAAATGTATAACGCATATTTCGTATAGTATCTAGTAGGTGCAAAAATTCTTTTTATGGCAAGTTATTTCCTGCTGATACAGATAAACGAATCAAAAGGAAATAAAGCTTTTGAGGTGCTTATTTTTTCCTCATAATTCCCGAAGCATCGCTGCATATAATTGGCAATAAGGCAATTCTATTAGGCAAAGCAAACAAAACGTGCATCAGAAATTTGTCGAAATTACCTCTGGTCCGTATTCCAAATCGGCGTGGACTCGACCTATACCGCGGCTCCGTCAGCAGGAATAACAATGTTTACGTTACGGTTACGGCTCTATTAGTCTATATTTATAAATGTGGAGGAAGTGAATAATGCAAACATACGGGATGACTTTGAATCAAGTCCGCAAAACCGACCAAATGCGGTAAGATCGGTACACTCTGTATAGCAGAACAAGGGTGAAAAGCTCCGATGTGGCTCTTTGCCCTCTAGTCCACACATATCTAGTTTGGAAGGAAAGGAAAATAGAAACTAGCTCTGGGAAATTCGCAAATGTTTCACGTTTGTGTGATATTACACGCAGGTCATTTCCTTTTCGATATTCGCCGGTTTCTGTTTTCCGGTCATAACTATGCAAAAATATTCTTTAGTGAAAACGTTGTGTTCCGAATGTAACGTATAAAAATACTTTTCGTTTGCTTATGTTCCAAAAGGTACGTTAGATAAAAAATTAAGCGAATTAATTTAGTAATGAGTACTTCGGTCATGGACGAAGTCAAATTCGTTAATGATTGACACAACGAAACAAATTTATGAAAATTAACAGGTAATTAATACATAGTTATTTTAATATTTATTCACAAATACTCGTAATAGAACGTTTTGCATATTTGTTCAGAATAAAAATTATCAATATGTTAGTAATATTTGCTTCTGTAAAATAACTGGCAATTTTATTATTAAATTTTCATGGAATAAAAATAGAAGGGGCGTTGAAAAATCGATTGAAATAGTAAGTAAAATATTGAACATATAACAACCTTTGTTGGTATTTTAACTACTATAGAATGGTAAATAGTTATAAAAAATAAAATGCATAATAATAAGAGGCTTTAAAACGAACTATAGAAGGCTAATTAATAAACACAAATTAATTAAAATTATCAGGAGAACTCAAATATTAATTCCTCTAATTAGATAATTTGTGAATTTATGATTAGACTTAAAGTTCAAGTTAGAAATTATAAAGACGTACTTATGTAATATTCACTCAAATTAGAACGTTGCAAGAGCTTACAATTTAGTGTTCTTTACATTAAACTTCTCTCAGGAATAATCCTGGAAAAAATATACGAGAAAATTAATTGTTTTTTAAACGATTTGAGCTGTTTATAGTTTGATTAAAATGGAACTAATAAATAAATTAATAGTGAAATAGCATTTGTTATTTTCATGCATTTTTATGTAACGTGAGAAGGAAGTCGCTTGGCGCAGCAAAAATAAATGCAATCGGATGCTTATCTGCCAAACAAAGAATAGACTAAGGCGAAAAAAACCCAGCCGCAATAAAATGGAAATACTCCAATCTGTTCAATTCCTTTTTAGATTCAATCAGTTGCCGGTACCGCCCACCAGCAATCCGGAAGTTTCTTCCATTTGTTATCTCGGTGACATCTTTAGTCCTTCCTCTCGTTCGTCGGGTTGCCTAACAAGAGATTTGCGCCGGCTATTGGCGTTTCTTGCTGAACAAACGGTTTAATAATGACCGTTCTGACCAAAAAAAACCTCCCGAAAAAGATGTGGAAATTTGCTTTTTCACGACTGGCTTACACGCCGGATTTCCATTGGTTTATCTAGTAATCGACTGTCTGATTTTATTGAGTCTGGAAATCCAAACATTAGACTTTTGTTCTCTTTTTTCATCTGGTAATTCGGCGAAAATTTGGATCAGATTAGAAAAGTTGGGGGATTTTTTTAGGATTACACGCTATCGAATAGAGTGAGTGGTAGAGCTTTTTAACGACATTTTACTCTGCTATATCGGGGGCTTTTGTTCGGAAATAAAAAACAGGAAGGACGAGAATGTAATGGAAGTAAATCATTCTAAATTAACACAAAGCGAAGCTGCTTTTATTCGAATTATTTCTAAGAATTTTGAAATATTATATTTTGCTATTTTTTGAAAGATAATAAATAAAATTTGGCCTTTTATTATACTTGTCATCATTCCACACAGTTGATGTTAATGATTTTGGAATTATTTAATACAAAAAAACTAATGTCAATCTTTTGACCAAACGAAACGTATGCACAATTTAAAACGTCACAAATTTAAACCCGAAGCATCCAAAATTCGTAATGTCTACGGGAATATTCTCCGATCCCATCGACCTAACCGCCATCAAAGACATAACGCCCAAGTACGAGCTGTACTTCATAAAACGACAATACGACAAAGTAACGTGGAACGACGCCGAAGCGCCATTGGTGATGTTCAGAAAGCGCTTCAGAGACTGCTTCTTCAATTACTCCTTGCCGTTTTCGCTGGCTCTGATCCTCGTGCTGAGGAGGTCCGTCTTCGGGACGTTTCTGGACGCGCTGAATCCCCTTCACAACGAAGCGAGTGCTGTCGACAACAAATTCGCCATAATCGATTACGAAATCAAGCATTTCGATAAGAACGAATGGCAGAGGTGGAAGCAGAAGAACCGCTTATTCGATAACATGTACGGCTGCCTGAAGCACATGGTCACCGAAGGCGTTGAGGTTACCTTGAAAAATCTAGAAAAGATATTACAAACATTGAGAATTTGCAATACGTATGTAAGTAGAGTAATATACTACGATATCTACTTACTACCATTCAATTTTCCCACAGATGAACTCTATCGATAGTTCATTAAAGGATTTCAAGAATTTGCAGATCCTTCAGCTCTCTGATAACAATTTAAGAGACATTAATGGATCGCACCTGCCCAGAAATTTGAAGATACTGGAATTAAATAACAATTTTATATCCAACGTGGATCATTTGACCACAAACGCCCCGAAACGGCTGCTGTATCTAGGATTAGGCAGGAATTGCTTAAATAACAGTAAGTAATATTTATAACAGATTGAAAACATGGTCAAAATGGTTCTGAACTTTTCTAGTATACCGGAACCGTTCCAAATAGTCCTAAATCTATTTTAAATGATTTAAAACTGCAATAAATGGTTCTAATATCGTCTTCAACTATTTCAAATGGTCCCAATCAGTTCTAAAATTGTTCTAAATAGGTCTATGCAATTCTAAATGGTTTTGAGTAGTTGTAAATGGTTTTGACCAGTTGTAAACGGTTTTAAACAGTTCTAAATTATTTTAAACAGTTCTAAATGACTTTAATCAGTTGTAAATGGTTATAAACCCTTATAAATGGTTTTGAACACTTCAAAATGATTTTGAACAGTTCTAAATAATCCTAAAACTACCCTAAAAATTTTAAAACACGAACAAGTACCTACACTTTCAGTTATACTACCACCTCTTTTCCTCACTCCCTCGATCGCTATCTTTCCCGCACTCGTATTATTCCTGTATCCATATCGCAGTGATAACTAAATATTTTTACGATACTTTCGTCAATCTCGAAACGCCCGCATCCTATTTTCGATATTCGGTGACGCGCCGCGTATTCGCTAGATTTAAATAATTATTTGCGCCTCGGGGCGATTGCTTTGAAATGTGACTGACACGTATAAATTGCCAAAAGTTGGAAGAGAAGGCTTATGAGCTACTTTGTGTTGACACGCATTCAGCTAGGCGAAGAGCGAATGCTGGAAAGGGGGCAGCTCGATTTAATTTACAGGACGAACGGGCTCGTTTTAAAGTGGTTTGATTTCGAATTTTTGGTGGAAAATATTTGTTATTATGTGCTAGTTATATTAAAGAGGAGTTTTCCAGGTGTAAAATAATCTTATATTCGTAACTATAGCACTTGTCTGATAAACATGATATAATTTAGTGACCACAATAAAATAAAAATTCTAGAGATTGGATATAAGCAGGAAAACTGTCCTATATATTGTGCATAACATAATTAATAATGTAGAAATGAATAAAATGGGAGCATCAAATTTAAAATTTTAAAAATTAATATTTTCCGAGGCCCTAAAAATTCATAAATCAATTATTTTAGATTTTCTCGCATATCTTCCTGTAGCAATTATTCATTAGTGCCTTATTATTGAATCAGATTCGAGCTTGATAAAACATCAATGTCTCTTCCAAAGCAGTCCAAACTAAGCTCACCTTGTAGGCACGTTCCTAACTAAAATGTGGAGTAGTTTAACCCAAAACTCAGACTTTGATTAATGAGCGATTTTCCAAACAAAACTGACCGATGGGCTCAGTGACACGGCCCTAGGATGGGAACCCGGCCTCCAGCAGTAAAACCGACGAGTTTGCGGCTTTTGTTTACAAGAAATATTCGGGTTGATATTGGCAAATATATTATACCTATTGTTACCGTTTGTACTAAGAGCGTGTTTACTAATTTAAAAACAACTCGAAACTATGATTATTCCAAAGTTATCTCCAACACAACACGCGCATAAAATGAAGTGTTATTGCACATATAGGCACTTCGACAAAGCAAATAATAATTACCTAAAATCTATTTAATACTATCGATATTCAGCCGACAAATACATCAACGGGGGTCGATTCCCCACCAATTACTACCCATTACTATAAAAACATAGAAACTCAATTACCGCTCGGAATGCTCGCTCCCCCGCGACAACCCTCCCGTATCTTATTCGCAAAATGGGGTATGCGACCCGGTCAAAGGCGGCGTGTGTTTGATTTGTGAAATTATTGATTAATTAGCGTTGCAGATTAATTAACTATATCGAAGCTTTTGGGACCACAAGAGAATTATTGATAAAAAAATTGTGGAAAAATATTTACAAAATTATAGCTTTGTTGCCGTAAATGTGAGGTAAATATGTCGGTTGTTACCTACATATTATGACAAAAGTAATTTTTGAAAAAGCATAAAGATGTAGTTAAGTTTTGTATAGAAAAAATAATAATTGTAGATATCGTTTATGTGTAATATTATTTAGTAATTATTTTTTTAGGAGTATGTTTCGTGTCATAATAAAATAAGTGACAGTAATGAATAATTTCAATGGAATTTTATGTGCATTAAGAACCCCCGGCGAAACCCAATTCTCCTCCTCTCTATATTCATTACTAAACAGCGATCCCATTTTGAAAACATCCCTGATATATTTCCTTCGTCATTATTCATCATTTCTCAATTAGCTTAATTAGTTATTGCCATATCTCTGCGGATGTAACACGTATTCGTAATTTGGAAGGCCTGGCTAGGACACCGGCTCCGGGCGCTCGACTCGTAAAACTTGTCGTAAATTTCGTAATGGGATGGACGTCGAATGGATTAATAATAGCGAAAGAGGCCTTTTTGTTCGTTTTTCCGCATGAGCTCCGGGAAAATGAGTCGTTTTAAAATTTTCTCCTCTCCATTAGATTATTCTAAAAATTATTAAGAATGCCTATTTATTTTTTCCCGAAAAAAAAACTAACAAAAATTGTAAGAATTCCACCTTAATATTAAGAATTTTATTATTGTCAATTAACTCGGTTTAGTCAAAACTTGGTTGACAATAAATATTTCAGGAACAATTCCTGCTTTAAATATCTGTAAATATCACGTACGTAATCCGAGACTTGGCGTTAAACTGCTAAATAACGTGCAAGTTTCGTTTAAAACTCCCGTCTATCGTTACCTATTGACCGGATATATCGAGAAATAGCCGGGTTTAATTTATGCAACGTTTTGCTATTCTCGGTTCGAAATTAATTCCACGAAAGTGCTACCCAGTAATTTCAAGTACCCGCTAAAAAATTGCTAAACAGTCCGAAACCTTTTGCATCCCTCTGTATAGTTTTAACACGATGCAACGGACATGTTAGGCGTCGTTTTACTAATAGCTCGAAAACATCATAATAGCCGGCGCATCGTGTTAATCTCTAATTAAAAACCAGGCCGGGGTGGAAAATTTTTCCCAAAAAAAAAATCTGATATTTCACTACTACATATTTTGGTATCCTGACAGCTCAGATTATAGGAGCCCAGTTGCCCTCTAATAAGTCCAAAAAAATCTACATTGAACCGAGCAGGGCAAATATAAATAATAATTAGAAGACTCGAACTGGACGCAAAAAGTTGGTTTGTTACAAACTATACAGGGTGGTTCAACAAGATACAAAAATATGCAAAAACTGGAATTTGTCAGTGCTAGTAGAGTTTCATTTTATTAGTTTAATTACTAGTATAGATCAAGGTGATTAATAGTTGTAATTTGTTGGGAAATATTACATTCGTATCACACAAAAGGAAGGGCTCTAAAGTATAATTTAATAACGTATACAGGTTGCTCCATTTTTGATCGCAACATAGGTTATATAGGCCATGGATGCGATAAAGACAACTTCCATTAGACACCTTATAAAGGAAAAAGAAAGAGTGACATTTGTGTCATTGCAACTTTTTACCCTGACAACTGTCGTTATGACCATGTTGCAATCGGAAATGGAGCAAGGTGTATAGTAAAAATGGAGTCTTTTATCTTCAATTCCTCCGCCTGGCATTAGAGACGTCAAAATAGCGTAAAGCCATTTTACGTAAGTACCTGCGTAAAACCTCTCTAAAATCCATAAGAGCTAAAAGCTCACAAGGAATCGTCCCTGTATGTTTGAAAAAAAAGTGATCCAAAGTAAGCGCCGTTATTATATCAAATATCATCGGGCTGTCTGGAAATTAGTACGCGTTGTAAAAAAAGCGGCGCACACATTTCATTTTACGTCACATCCGCGTCCGGGTTTTAGAATCGCGATGGACCGTTGTCTGACAAAACGAGATAAAAGTTTAATACACGCACACGGGCGCCCCCTGCCTACATGCCATGTCATAATAATTAATACCGGCGACGAGGTTAGATCGTAAATCATAATATGTTTATGTAGTGGTCGGCTTAGCTTTCGTTTGAATTTTGGTTGGTACCTACGTCATTTAGGGGGTTAGCACGGCTTTTCTATTTTTTTCCCTTTATCTGCACTTTGCTGTGTATTTAACCATATAGGTTTAATTATGACCATCATTTCTGTACAGGCTTTTGTGGTCGATTACTGGCCATCCCTTATTGTCCCGTTGGGATATTTCACGATATAATTGTTAATATCAACTAGCAAGATATCAAAATGAAACGTGGCTGACAATATAGCTTGATTTCACTTGATTATAGCTTTATCAAGCTACATAATTTAGCTTGCTAATGTTCTAAGATTTATTTATTAATTGTTTATATTAAACGAAGGAGTCTTAAGGGGAGGTAACGTTAATTCGATGAAAAAAGAGCCATTTATACAAGTTTTTAGATGCTACAGATTTATTTAATTGATTGTGACATTGTTTTAGAACTTATAAATAACAACTTTTGAACAAACAGAATTTCGTGGGCCAAATCGATGCAAAAGCTTAAGGTAACTCTGTTTTATCGAAAACCCATATGTACGAATGGTACAAAACTTTTAAAGACAGTCGGGAGATCGCTAAGACTTGCCTTGTTCCGGACCTTGTCCTCTTCAGCCAATGATAACTGCGAGAAAATGAAGGAAATTGAGGTCGAAAATCATCATGCTAGTATTAAACAAGTAGTACGTGACCTTTTAACATCTCATGTTAAACCGTTCGTTTGATTTTGCTCAACCAATCGGACATCCTGATGCGAGTTTAGGCTCGGATCGTTCCGATAGAGCTGAGTTTCCTTGGTCGATGTAGACATTCATAACACTAAATAACAATCTTATTAACACGTTATACTATAATAGAAAAAAGTTTAAAAACATTACCTGTCTACTAAGGGGTGTCGTTGCATACTTATTGTGATACCATTAAAAAATTGATGATAAAGTAGAAATCGGTAGAAATATCGTAGTGGTTCAATTTCTAGACCAGTTAAATATAGATAACTCTCTTCTACTTTAAACAACAAATTCTTGCAAAATTTGAACACAGCTATAAGAACAAAAAGGACCTAATACGAATAGTTATTTACACAAATTACCCTGTTGTAAATCTTTTATGATTAGGCATGTACCATACGAGAGAAACAATCAGTTTTATTTTCAAATGCTCGAGAATGCTGTTATAATAGCACTTAATAGGTATAGAAATAAAAATATTTAATAACTTCGCCTTGTTTCCATTAAAGCAGGAATGCGGTAAAACGAAAAAAGAATGTGAAAACGCGTATGTACTAATTGATAGCCAGTCAAAACAGTCCATTGTGGAAACATTAGCCGCGTATAATAAATGAGAGAAGAACACGCAGCTTATAGTTGCACAGTATGGCTTCATTAACTGGTTATTTATGGCTTATTTATTTAATGACTCTTCTGTATTATTAGAAACTGATTTATTGCCATTATAATTCTACTAAATGACGGTTTAACCTGCGTCTATTGTTTAAATCCATCGCGTATTTCGATTAAATGCACGTATTCAATATATGTATATGAAATTCACCACTTTCGAATAATGATGCAAAATGAATAATTTAATGTATTGCATTTACAAATAGCAACAATTTTAAATAGCCAGTAAAAAATACATGGCTCGAACAAACATGTTTTAAATACAAGCTTGAATTAAAGTCCCTTTAACTTATACGAGCTAAAGAGGATTTTGTTCATAATTAGGTACAAAATGTCAGCCAATCTATCCATGATTTTTTCGTCGATGTTACTGGTTATACGTTCTAATTGGAAAAACGAATTCGAATACGACTTACTAATTATTTATCGTTATTACATTTTTGCTAATTAAACCAACGTACAAAAAAGCCGACCGACAAAATATATCGGAATATACCTACTGAACAAACTAAACTGAATTAAGCTAGAACAGTAGGTGCCGGTCTAATATGCAGTCTACCATAATATTTGCGGTCTACCTACATATTTCGTCGCCAAAGTATATTTAAATACTTTGACTGGTATCATATTTTGCAAAACTGAAAATAATTGTGAACATGTCTCACAAAACTGCAAATGTTTGACCGTTTAAACTTTTTTCTCCTACAGTTTCCGGAAATTCGAACTAAACATCGGAAAAAAAAACTCACCCTGCAAAATTCTGATACTTCAGTAATTTTCGATCAATTGAATTATTTACCTGTGATTCCATAAATAATATAATGCTAGTAAAATCTTTTCGTTTGCTTAACGAAGATAGGTATATTCGCGTTTAAATAAATACTGATACTTCCCCAATTCTCGGTAAATTGAATTACCCACATGCTGTTCTATAAATAATGTGTACAATACCAGTAAATATTTTTCTTTTGCTTAATGAAGAGTCAAATTTCAAAATCTTGCTTTCATACTTTGTAATAAATACTTTGTATATAAAATAAATTTGGGTAGACCACATACTAAACCAGATGCGGTAGGGTAGACTGCATGCTAGCCCGGCACCGAACGGTGCGTTTAATATTATTTTTGAAAGAGTACTTAGTTTGAGATTAATAAATGAAAGTTTTGGAATTAACACTATATTTCTTCCAATAAAATTTGCGTTCTTAAAGTGACATATTTTTCACAGAAAGTTATTATCGAAATCTAAAAATCTCGAAATTTTAGGTATAATCTTGAAATATAACATAGAATATCTAAAATTATACTTTTCACAACATCAGCCCCGACGATTTTCGTTTATCGTTGGTGCAATAAACACAGTCCCCAAATAATATTTCTATCAGAGAGGAAAAAAAGCATATATGGCGTTGTACCTTGTAATAAAATAATATGCTGCAACGGACTATTCAATTAGATTAATTAATAATTAAAAATAGTAATTGGTTCGAAATCAATGAAAAACAATGTATAACTTGGTAATGGCCAAGTATAAATTTTTAATGATCATTTTTTAATTAATCAAACAAAACAGTGTATTTTAATTGAAATTTTAGCTTCACGTCGCTCGAGTTTACGTAAAATATTAAATGAAAAAAAATGTTTATCATGTGCTAACCAACAGCCGGCATACGCGTTTTTGCGAAATTTTATTATAAAAACACTGTCAATGGGAAAAAATTAAATTTCCAAACATGATAAAAAATAATTATAATTTGTTCGCGAAACGAACTCGAAATCCCTCAACTATCATACACTTCGTGTTCGTAGGAATAAATAAAATATTCATTGATGAATTGAGGCTATTAACCGACGGCCAGCCGTGGTTTTCCCATAGAAAATCACCTGCGAAGGCCCTTCATTACGTTTTTATTTTAGTTTACGGCGGTCTGTTATTAACCGTTCGGAAAAGAGGCGGTTATAAAATATTTATTTAGTCCGTCCGGCCGGTAAATTCCTTGCGTCTTCTCTTTTCACTCGAAATTAAGTAGATAATAGTTAATAGATACATGCAACAATCATGCAATTGTTGCACGTATGGCACGGGTAAGTAAATTGTTACTGTCGTAGAGGTGTAGTAAAATACTAATTGAGTTTTTTTAAGTATTGATATATTGACTATCGATTAGACATTTTAGATAGACAGAGCTTCAGAATTGCAAAGTTTTATTTGGGACAGTTCTCGGGAAATTTAACGATCTCAATCTGGGATTCGATAAATTTCTTAAGCCGTTAGACAATACCAATAAAATTTGTTTTAACGTCGCATCATAAATTCTTTGGAAACGTACTACAGTCCAAAAATAAAAAATGTAATTTCTCTCATACGACATTACATTAGGGTGTGTGTGTGTGCCCTTTTCGAAAATAAAATTGAAAACGGCGTTTCCTTTGAAAAGTCGCAAATAATTCCCGTACGCCGGGCATACAAAACGGCCCTGCCGACAGTCCGGCCGCGCTGAATTATTAAAATCAACTACATAAAAATTGAGAAGTTCATTTTGTAGAAACCATCAAGTCGGGCCTTACTGGACGTTTACATTATTAAGGGACGTCAGGGAGACGACGGGATGTGTGCGCCACGGGGAAAAATTACTCCCGGTAAAAGTTTAACGTTTCCCATTCACGAATGCCCGTGCCCCACGCCATTTCGCCTTTTCGCTCTTTTTCTTAGAATGATACGAGTAGGTAAAAATAAATGTAAATTGTGAACGTTGTATGTTCACTAAAGTATACTAGACTCCCAAAAAGGATTTGCTGGGTTACATCCTTACCAAGACCTACCCTACGGGAAGTCTATAATTAAAATATTAAATTTAATAATTTCAGATAGTTCTCTGCATTTACTCAGTGATTGCGGACACTTCCAGGAACTGTGTTGCCTGGATTTATCCCAGAACGATATATACGACTTGAACGCTACCATTAAGAGTTTATCTTCCTTGCATTCTTTGGATTCACTTCTATTGGAAGGTAACCCATGTTACGTAAGTATACAAACTGTTCACATATACAGGGTGTTACAGAAATGTTCGGACATGGTTTAACTACAGACTTTAGGGACGAAAATAACCTAATCTTTTTTATGAAAATTTATACAAATATGTTTCTTTTTGGTAACATATTTTTGTGTAAAAATTCTTTCTAAATTATCAACCCATGCCAGATTTATAAGGGAGAGGGTCCGACCCCCTAAAGCCCTAACGCTTCCACCCCCCATGTTTCCACCTTCCATGTTATTTCCTCAATATTATGATCGAAACTAGATTTATTGGTTTATTTATAATGATTTTTTACTCTGTGCAATTTTCTAAAAAATCCAGATTTTTTGCAAAAACAAGGGTTTAATTTTTTGGCATTTATACGATATAAATCCCCATAGTTTGGAAATCTTTTTTCTCTAAAATAATAATAAAATTGTTTTCATAGCACCTTTGAGCAGATTAAGTGTTTTTCAACAAAAATCTATTTATAAATCGAAAACTTGTAGAAAATGTTAGTGTTAAAAATTAAATTTCAGTGATTTATAAACATCGTTCAAAATGGCATTAATATTCCAACCTTTTTGCGATACCTTGTTTTTTTGCTAACGGTCGATAATCTACCCAGAGCTAGATAACAACTTTTTTCCAGATGGATCCATTTTATATTTATCAAGTTTGCCACACTTTCAAAAAAATGGCATATTTGGATAACACGCAAATTTTGAAAGAGGATAAATACAAAATGTACAGTTCACAAACAAACTGTAGACCTGTGGTTTTTTTCCATTGTTACCGATTGATGGGCATTCAGAAACCGACTGTTATCAAAGGAGTAAGTCTTGAAAATGTTCTGCATCAATTTTTCAACTTCTCTATTAAGTTCATCCTTTTTTCTTTGGGTGTTTAGAAACGCAGAAATCCAAGACTCGTCTAAATAGTCCAAGACAAACTAATCCAAAACAACAATCGACCAAACACAAAATAGCCTGAGATAAAACAGTTCCGGTAAAATTAAAAGCAAGCATTGTTTGTTAGATTTTCAAAGTTTCTAAGACATTTTTTCTTGATGGTCTGGTTTTGTATACTGTCATCATTCCCGTCTATGATATTTATTCTTATTTCATTTAATGCAATATTATAATCCGTATAAAATTTATCCTGATGCCTGGTAAAATAACGATTCAATGTCTTAAAAATGGTTCGACAAATTTAATTCATGATTTGTGCTCGTTCTTGTAATTATGATACGTTTTTTCTACTAAGCTATTTTGTTTTTGCGCAATAATTTCGGGACTTTTCTATCTCTGGCGATTTTGCCTTGGGCTATTTTGACGGGGTTCTAGAGGAATCCTATTGTAGTAGTAGTTCATTCGAGCTAAACGACAATTTCCCAATTTTCTTATACACTTATTAAAAACTCTAATTTTAGGCGAATTTAATGCAAACGTTTCACGTGGAAATCTCGTTACCTCTATTGGAATCAGTCAGGTTGCCGTCGCCACCGATAACACCGGAGCCCTCGACAATGAGTAGCAGCCGCTTATCGCCACGTAATTCTGTTACTTCTGTGTTAGTTAATTATTACTACAGACTACTTGCATCGATGCTATCAACCGAGGCTTAATTTAGCCACTCTATCCCTCTCGTTCGATCACCGGCATGACACCAAAACGAGGCGTCTTGATTAAGGCTGCTATAGTAAACATATACAGGGTGTTCCTATTATTGTTGTTTTGCGGACAGGGCTTTTTAGCTCTGTAAACACCTAGATCATAAGATCCTCTGTAGTTTTCCCGCTGTTCTAAAGTCATTGTTTCTGCCAGAGGTCACTAAAAATTGCGAACCTTAGGAGTTCCAACGCCCTTGTTGTGTCTAGATCTTTGGGATCTAGAAACATCAGGGGGTTCATAACCAAATATAAAAATACATATTTAGGCTCTAGAAATTCCTAGGTATTGTAATTTTAGAAAGAAAAGCTTACGTTCACAAAAATCAGTGAGAATTCCCGAGCCGTTGTTAAAAAATAATCAATGTAACAGTATTCACGAATACAATCCAAAACAAGAAGAGAGAAATCACGCTTTCAAAACCGTTAAGAAAACATGGAGCCCTGTTATAGAATTTCCTCAAATGGCCATTGAAATTCCTAACGATGATTTGATACTTATGAGGGACACCCTTCGATCAACAGCTAAAGTAGACATTGTTTATTCAGTGGTAGGTGATGTCGTACCATTGATGGTGTCAACTCATACTTTAATTGAGGAGTATTTATTTATTTTTATTAGATATCCCGTAATATTTCGTCGAAATCCAAGACCGCTGAAATTATCAACGACGATAACATCACCATTGAATCGAAGATGACGTTAGCAAGTTTCACCTGCAATTTGGAGACCTGGAATTGGAGCGACCAGTATCTAGATTTCTTTTGGGATGAACGCGTTTGCGCCAGTAGACCAGCGGTTAAGGTTAATGGATCATTGAAAGTGAGTGATCATTATACAGATAAGTGCAAATTTCTACGCAATGGGTGCAACAAAGTCTACTTCCATTAGTATCCATTACTATCCATTAGAAAATGCCTTATAGAAACGACAATGGATGCCAAACCTGCAGCCTAACACATAAAAAAGTTATTCCTTTGGCAAATAAAGAGGTTTAAAATTCACCAATCCCAGTAGCAGTTCACATACGCGAAAATGACGTGAATTAGCTATACACCAAATTTGCACTCACCCATAAGTTTATATCAATATATGTCCTTAACCTCTTAGTTTTCGAGCTACAGGGTGTTATAGTTTAAAAAAAAGTTTTTTATTATTTATTTGATGGAACTGTTGTTAAATTTGGTAAGTTAGATGATTTTGGTAGTTCTATTTTTCAGTTTAAAATATTTTGTGCAATATTCATTTGCAGTTTGTAAGTGTATGTTTGTATGTGTTTGTTTTGATATCAGGTCTATGTACAGATAATTATTTATCTATTTTGGACATGTTCTGTTATAACATGTATTTCTCCTAGCAAATAAATAAATATTTTCTTATTACTCCAGTTATTCTTATAAAATTTTGTACTTTTTAATTATTAAGGAGCATTTTTTGCTACTGCTTTTTCTAAAAACCAAAATTATTTTGTAAATCCTCATTTATTTTGGAGCAAATTCGGTCCAAAGACTTACTTTCGTACGACGCACCATTTTCGGGTAAAAAAATAAAAAATAAAATAAAATTTCCCAAGTGCATTGAGACTGCTTTTGATATTTTATTGAAATTTGATAAGTAATTAATTGAAAAATTAATTATCTACTATTATCAGTGACGCTCACGTCCGAAATTTCATAAATATATCTGGAGTAATAAGTAAATTATGATAGAAAAGTTATTTTTTTTCTAAAACTACTAGCTCGAAAACTAAGAGGTTTAGGACATATATTAATACAAACTTTTTAAACTTCTTAAAATCGTCCAAATATTCACATACTAAAGTATCGGCTCTCAATTAATTAACACCCTGTATATTTTTCTGTAATTGAGCAGTATTTGTAACCTAAACCAAATCAATATCTAAGGAAATGATTTTTTGGCATGTATTTTGGCGTTTTAGAATTTAAACTATACTGGTAAGAAGAAATTAGAAGATCCCACCAATTTTCCGCAAACGGTACCTAAAAATATGGCGTTGCATTTTGGCTTTGAAATGGCGAGAAATTTATTCCAAGAAGACAAAATGAAATCCAATCCATGTATAAAGCATTCCCCATACTAATAAAATTAACAAGTGTGTACTGTGATAATTTTATAAAAGAAGTCTACCAAACTTATTAATTTGGAATAAATTATTCTCTTTGAAAGCACAGTTGCAGAGGGTTCATAATTAACCTGAAAAAAACAAGATTTACTAAAAAAATGTATTTATACAAAAAATTAACACTAACTTATCTCATTTAAAATAAATAATTCCTAAAATGAATTATTTCCAACTAAAAATAGATCATACTCAATCATTTTAAAACAACTTATACGCTATATGTATAATCTCCACAACAAAATGTTTCCCTAAAAATTATTTCTTTTTCCGATCTTGCGTACATTTCGGACAATACCACTTTCCTTTTGGCTTGGTTGTAAGACCCACACACGCAAAATGAAACCATTCAATCGGGCACTAAAAGTACATAAATCAAAATTAGTTTCAAATTGAATAAAACACAAAAAATATGTACGTACATCAGGATTATCACAACCAATCATTTCCCCGTAAGAAACTTGATGGCACAAACAATAGGTCGGCTCATTTGGATCTACTGGCATGTCTAAAACATCACTGGGATGAGCGATTCCTGCTAAGCCTGGAAGTACTGCTGCTACTGCTTCTGCAACTATTAAAAACAATTAAAATATAATTATACAAATTTGATATCAACTATTTGATCACCCTGAAGTATCCTCCAGCCAAGTATTGCTTAATTACCAAAAAATCTTTTGAAAAAGCTAGTAAGTATCTATATACAGGGTGTTTTCTAATAGTGCTAATACAGACGGGGATGTTTTTTGAACACATTTTAAGAAAAAAAAACTTCATATAAACATATATCCTAAACCTAAAATTTATTATTACCTAATTTCGATGAACGGTGAGTCGTACGAAAAGAAAGTCAAGGAATCAAATTTGTCCTAAATTGAACAGGGCCTCTAAAATTAATGTTGATTTCAAGAGAAAGCAATGGCGTACCACGTTTACCCTCAAAAATATTTGGCCTGAGTCGGAAATAAAAAAATGTTTTTAGGTCAAAAAATGCTCTTTCCCTTAATGCATTAACGCCGTACACCAAATTTCATAAAAATATTTAAAGTGGTATGGAAATGACAGTAAAAAATTGAATTTTAACTTAAAACTTTAACACCCTATATCTCAAAAGTTTTAATGTGTAGGACATGGCTTCGTATGAAGTCACCCCCGTCAGTATTAGCATGTTATTAAAACACCCTGTATATTTTGTGTTAAATATTTCAGTGGTTTTTTTATGAAATGCTAGTTAAATGAATGTTGCTGCAAATTAAAGCATATGAGAAAAGCAGGCGATACGAACCCTCACCTGCGGCAGCATTGGTTCCGCTGCCTGCGATACCACCGGATATAATCCCCGAGCTGGCGCCTTTCTGTTTCTTTTTCTTAGTTCCTTTGACGGTGCCCGTAGAGTCTTCTTCGCTTGAATTACCGAGCCGCTTTTTCTTCTCGGTTTTCCCGTCTTTAATTTTCTTTCTACCTCCTGGAAGCAAAGAAAGGTGAATTACCAGTAAGTTGGTTAAATGAGGGACTTTTAGCGTACGTTTTCCCACTGAAGGCTCTTCTTGATTTCTGGAATTCAACGCTTTATCCTGGATTTCTGTTTCGAACCTTGATAAGTCATTGTCTAGTCTACGAATATGTTTATCTACTAATTCATAAGTTTGTATTGCTAATTGTACTTTATCATCTCCATATTCCTAAAAAAATTGCACCAATATTAAAAGAAATTTATGCACTTAAGAGTATTCTATTAAGCTTTAGCTTAGCTACCTTAGCTTTATTAAAAAGGTCTTGAATTTTATCTAATTGTTCCTTTTTTTGATCTGATGTAAGAGATTTTTGATTTCTAAGGTACTCATCGGCCAGAGCATCGATGTTTTTCATGATTCCCTGCGCCCGGGAATCTAAATCTCTCATTAATTTAAAATTGCGTTGTAATTCTACTGGTAAATGTTCCAAACCTAAAAGAAAGCTTTTTAGAAAAGTCAATTGGACGGTAAAATACGACACGTACTGTCTAAATAATGTTCTAAATAAAGAGCAGAAGTCATTTTTAATAATAAAATATACTTTAAACAAGAAACAAATTATTATTCCAGTTATTAATTTTGTATCAAATCAACAAAACAATTCAACTACTACGTTCGACCTTCAACTTTAACTGTCATCTGTCAACAATTTCTTCTCTTAATATAATATTATTACGTCAGTAAATAACACGACAGCTAGTAAAATTACTTAATAGTAACAGGCCAGATACAACTGAAACAGCTGGCAAATCACTGTCAAAGTAAAAAAATTATGAGGTTAGGTTTGCGTTTGTATGCAAATAAAGAGCATAAAGTGAGATTTTAATTTTAATTTTTAGCGCAAATTGAAGAAATATATTTTGAAAACGAATAATATAGTTTTCGAAAATGGCTCCAAAAGGTTACATAACGAAAAGACTGCAATTTTCAGCATGTCATAGGCTAAATAGGTACTGGCATCAAAGGAAATTATTCATCAATTAAATATTTTTTTGTAGCATTCATTTGAGTGTTGAAGAAAATAAGAAAGTTTATGGGAAATGTAATCATATTAATGGACATGGGCACAATTATGTAGGTATGGTAGATATAGTTTTTGAATAAATACTATTGATTGGCTAATTTTTCATAGCATTTCTACAATTATCTTAAAACGTAGGATTTTAAAACTATATATTTTATACTAAACACGAAGAAATTGAGCTTATAACTCTTTCTTATAAATCTCGCGTTAATTTTCAGTTAAAGTGACGCTTTTTGGTGACATTGACCCTCTCACAGGGATGATAATTAATATGACCGAACTGAAAGCAGACATGGAAAAAGCCATTATGATACCTATGGATCACAAAAATTTGGATATCGATTTGGTTTATTTTTCTGATAAACCAAGTACTACCGAAAATTTGGCCGTTTTCATATGGAATGCAATGAAAAAAACAATGGAAAATCCTGATTTACTGTATGAAGTGGAAATCGAGGAAACTGAAAATAACTCTGTTAAATATAGGGGAGAATAAAAGCTTAATTTAATTTTACGTGATTTTCAAATTTCCTTTAGTCGTCGAATAAAAACATAATACTCTTATAAAAAAGTAAGGGACCCTGTAAAATAGGAACATTGAAATTCTCTAGTTATTTTTGTACATTTAATGCAGATTTTCTTGAGTAAATTTGGAACAGAACAATAAAATAATGTAAATAATTCAAAAGTAACTAATTGGCTAAACTTAAAATAAGCGCAGTTCCTCTCTTTATCCAGAAATCGGACGTCTCATTCCCGGCTTTCAAGTCAACAGCAACAACAAATGACGGCCTGAACTGACTTCCAGTTCTTATAGGGTAGTAATAACAGGGACATTGATACAATCCTAAAAACCAAATATAGAGAATATCAATGATATATATTTTATGTAATTTACCTTTGGTTTTCTTCTTCAGTTGTTCAACAGGCTTGAAATGAATCAACGGCATCGCAGTTACTAATTGCATGGGCTGCGAATCAATAAGGAAACCGTTTTTTTTTGTCCCAACTAGCCCCTTCAAGGTAAATTTCCCTTATGTATACCCCATTATCCGGCTGGTCCTGTATTGTGTTCTCCTCGGCTTGTATAACCGTAAATTCCCAACCTAGAGTATCTATCGGGACCTCTTGCGATCTTGCCGTAGTCTAAAGATTAATATTTCGTTACCAATTTATAATTGTTAACGCAAGTAATCGGGAATAAAAACCTGCAAAACGGCAGTCAAAAATCCAGTAGGAAAGGTGTAAGAAGCCAACCAGAAGAATAAAGGCAGCGTACGCGTTGTTGCCCAATCAGAGAAGTAGTGGATTCTTGCTATCAAATCTCTAGTCCAATTTCCCAACGATTTTAGTGAAGAATAAGCTGAAAGTTTGCAAAGTAATTGAACAACGTTTGTTCTACTTTTATTATACCTTTCAACCATGTAGGTGGTACTCTGGCATCAAATATGCTATCAAAGATTTCTTCCAATTCATTGGTCATAATAGCAATGCCAAGAATTGCTTTTTGAAGTTCCTCAATGCCTTCTTGCATGTCCGTTAGTAGAACGTTGTACCTGAAAAAATTCTCGCGAATTGTACCAATAATGCATTGAACATGAATAATAATGAATAATAGAAATTATGAAAAGAAACCTTTGTATTTCCTGCAAAAGGACTACATCCAAAGGTGTTTTGTTAACTCCCATAGATTTCTCAAGTTGGAAATAATCCAACGGTCTCGGTACTCTGTCGTAAATGTCTTTCGCCAGTTCGGCAACTTTTTGTTCTTTCGACATACCCCCACTAGCCTCGCTTTGCACCTCTAAAGTTATAGACAATGTTTAAATAAGCTGTTTAAGCTGTAAAAATAGAAGAAATTATGTTACCCAAAGACATTAGAGTTTCGAATAAGTTTCTGGATTCGCTGATCAATGAAGCAATATCTGCATTGGGATGTTGTCCAAAAGCTTCAGGTCTATCGGTGTTGGGCAACAAAGCGATGTAGTCGAGATAGGATTGTATCGAACCATCTCTCGGTATGTAATAAGTAGGCAGAGCCGATAACCTAAAGTGTGAAGGATTGGGAAATTACTATAAAGTTTACTAGTGCTTAATAAGCGAAGTACCTAAAGTAATGACCAGTAATGGCTTCTTCGCAGTAATATTGATTGATGTAGGTCAGCAGTAAACGTCTGTCCCAGTCGTCTGTAACGTGCCCTCCGTAATTGACACCAGCTATTAGGTATTTTAAAGCATCCCAAGGTGTTACAGTATATTCATTTAAATATATGGTTAACAAATTTTCGGAAACCTGTAAGTATAATCTTAGCGCAAAAAAATAAATTAGTATATTTATTTACTTGAAAATCGGAATCGTTAAAACTGTACACTACGTTCCAACCAAGCTGTTGAAATTTCTTTCTTTCCAACAATATAGAATGGAAAAAACAAAGAGCAAACAACAATTTTTTGTACTTTTCTGGAAATTGACAGGCGGTAAATTGCTCCTCGGTTATCAACTGATACAACCTCTTCAGATTTGCCTTCACACCCTAAATGTTAAATGAATGATATTTTGTCATTTACCAATTCATTAAAATAAAAACCTTCGGCGGTTCGGTCGTCATTTTAATACCAGCTTGAAGAATCGATATGGGAAACTCCGGATTCGGACTAGAACTAAGCCATATTCGAAACGATGGATGCACGGTCTCAGTTTGCAACAATTCAATGATCTTGTCCAACTTGGGCATCCAACTCAAAGACAAGTGGCAATTCGCCAAAAATATCCAATGACCGTCCTTGGAACCAATTTGTATCAACCTGAAGAAGACAACATTCAACATGTTTTTACCACAAGCATATATTATATTTATTTGTACTTTGTGGCTATCGGAGCTTGCCCTTGACCCAAACTGATGGACTGGAAACTCTTTATCATGCCTGTTTGTTCAGCAAGATATAACAAACCAGCAGTCGGGTCTACGCCTGGCGACAAAACGAATATCAAAGGCGTCTCCGGAAGGGACTCCTCCAACACAGCCTTGATGTCCAATACCGGAGGTTCAACAAATTGCGGACCCAATTGATTGACGATAAAAGTCGATATGGCGAATTGGATGCGATCTTGTCGAAGCGATCTAATGAACAGCATCTTCTGGAATTCATTACAAATTGCGTCCCAATCGCCTGTGAAATGTATTTTTTAGAAGCGTGTAATGGCGTAAATTAGGTGTTACTTGCCTATCAAAGGTAAAGTTTCAGGTTCGGTATGGATGTACCAACTGTACCAGTCCCGCTGAAACTGTTCAAATGAGTCAGCTACACCTTTAAAGCCGCCCATTTTTTCCAATTCGGTGATATTATCCCAAGCTATTTCAGACATCCAATCTGAAATTATAGAAAAGCCGGAATTAATCAAAAATTAAAGATATACTAACGTTATAAAACAGACGGAAGATTATAAATACAGAAGTAGTTAAAGCGTGTTAAGTGTATTACTTGGACAGGGGTTTTCCCTTTGTCTGGATCTGTCCAATACTATGCCGCCTTTTAGCAGAAAATTGTATTCAATTAGGTTGATTTTTCCTTGGCCCTTCAAAATTTTCATGCACATGTGGAACGAAAATAATAATTTGTGTTGTTCAAAGAGCGCTCTACACGTATTCCTACAAGAAAACCAAAAGTAACTACACTTTAGCAAAATTTCTTTAGCAAAGATTCTTACTTGTATACTGCATATGTGTGATAGTCGTTCAACATGCTAATTCTTTCTAGTAAATCCAAGGACTTGGGGCTTTTTAGGATCGATTGAACAAAAAGTATAATGTACGCGTCTAGCGCAAATTGATACATTGGGTCTATTTGACCCATATCGTTCAATACGAAAAATAGTATAGCAGCTCTCGTAGCAGACGGTCTATACCCCTGCAAAATATTGCATAATTCTTTCTCTACATGGCAAGTCGATGTTAATCTTACCTCTCTAGCAAGATCAATTTGTACTTCAGTTTTCACAGCTATTTCCAAACTGACTTTTACCGTTTCCGATGTAGCTTTCGAATCTTGGAGGGTATCATACAACTCCTCGCTGTCCAAGAGTGACCCCTCAATCTCATTCAGCAGTCTCAGCAATTCGTTTTCTAACTCTTTCAATGTTTTCTTACCTAAACGTAGAATAACGTTTGATTAATGTATTTTAGTTAATCAACTTACCTTTGGAGATGGTGGCGACCAATTCGTCCTTCTGCTCCTCCAATTGCGGTTTCTCCTTTCGAACGACGATGCTCAACATTTGGCTTTCAAGGCCGGATTCCTTGACGGCGAAATTGATCAACGTAGCTTTGGTGCAAATTTCTGGAGGGTAATGCGGATTCGTCAGCTTGGTCGTGATGAAGAATTTAAATTGCTCGTTGTACGATAACAATTTGTCTTCGATTTTTATGAGGAGATCTCCTCCCGATTTTACTATGGCCTTTCCGACGACCGGTTCTAGCGATGGGTCGATGGTTTCTCCGATATTTTGCAGCAAAATTGGCGTACCAATTTGTATCGCTTTCTCCACTATCAACATGTAATTTGTCGTCCCGAAATCTATAACCTGTTGAAAATTGTGTTTTGTAGAGTAATAGAAATTGCGCATTATAGCGCAGTGCTCTATTTATATACATGAAGACCATTTTTTGCTTCTTTAGCTTTAATCCACTTCATCGCTTGACATTGAGGATCGATTACCAAAGGCCATCTACTGCCAATATCGACGATTATTCCGTTTTCGGCACTAAAATTATCCGCAGGCAAACCCTGCTGATTCCACTCTCTGATGGTATTCGGATCGGCCAAAAACGTAATTACATTGAAGTCTTTAGATATTACAATTTTGGCATTATTACACTAAAATTTAATCGTCATTAATTCAACTGAAACACGAAAACGTTTTTGGTTACCTCCTCTTGCCACATATCTTGTAATTCCTCCCTGTAATTGGACAAAAACGGTCCCAAGTACGAAATGAAAGCGGTCGCCAACAAGCAGTCTCCGGGTAGGAAATCAAAATTGCTGTCCAGAACTTTAACAGTTTCAATCCATCTTTCCCGTTCGCCCGATAGGCATTCCACCAATGTGGCAGCTCTTTCCAATTTAAATTCCAACATTCGAGCCTGAAATGTGCAACTTATTAAGCGGGGATCACTTACATTTGCCATATTGGTCTATTACCTTCCGATTGAGTTCTTCTTTCTGCAACTGCTTATCTTCGTATTCTTGCTGGAGTGTCAACAAATAATTATTCAAATCCGTCAGTTGTTGTTGAGCCATGGCTAGCATGTTTTCTTTTTCTTTTAGTGAATTAAGTGTTTCTTCCAATTTAGCTTTCTTCGGTCCGACCACCCTAAATAAAATTAGTTACTAACCATATATTATTGTTGATTTTTTTAAACGTTACTTCCAAACTCTGGCGTATTTTTCAATGGCTATGACCCAAAGACAAAGAGATTTAGCGGCTGCAGAAACTTGTCCAACTTTGTCAGGAACGAATTCGTCATTTGAGGTGTACACTGTGATCTTCTTCAACGTTTTATCGTCGATGTTGTCTTTGTCAAAGTCCTTTAGATCTTGCAGGAAACTCATTCCTCCTAATAACTTCTTGGCCATATCCCAACTAGGATCGACCTAAAAGTAAAAAAGTGCAAAAACGGAATGGCATTGCGCTTATGACCTCACTCCTAGTAAAATATTTACGGCCTCCATAACCATCTTGACCTTTTGCGGCGGCGTAACGTAAGATTTTATTTCAGTGATGTCCTTTTTACTGAGCGAATCCAGAGCTCCCATTGCCGCCAGCAAAGCAGGCATCGCCGCCTGTAAATCAGCCTGAGCCAATTCCGCCATTTTATTGATTTCCACTGCCTCCTCTTCGATTTTGGCGCTAGTTTTGGCTACTTCTTTCTACGCGATAAATATATGTGTTCCTAAATGTTGTCGTCTAATAAAAAAGTACGCTCTTCCTGACCTGTTGCTCGTCCGCCTCTTTTCTCTGCGCCATGATAATCAGCATGTACTCGTCACATTGCTGTTGGAAAGCTTCGACTTGGACTTGAGCTTCCTCCAACTCCACTGACATCAATTTGACCTTCTCTTGGCAGTCGTCAATTTTATACAGGCCGTTTCTTAATCTGTTCGCCTCATAACTGGTTTCTTCCCTCTTATTTGATAGCATACTGATGGTTCAAAAGAAAAATTGGTTACTGGGATTTCGACAATTATTTGTACATACGTTTTGTAACCGTAGACCAATTCTAGGTAATTGGTGGGTGTCACGTAATTATGCCGTTTTAATTCGTTCAGCATCTTTTCGGAATATATCACCACTGAGTCGTGAATTATGGAGCAAAGGTACGCCATTTGTTCTCTTATGTAATCCTGCGTCGAGGTCAATGCGAATTGGCTTTCATGCCGCTAATATTTAATGTTTAAACGTTTTGATTAATATAAAATAGCATTAATTTTACCGGTATTCCTGTTATGGTTTCAACAAAATTCACGTTGGCAATATACTTATTGGCCACCTCCAACAGAGCCTGCCGAGGCCATTCTTTAAACCAATCGATGGTAGTGCAATTAATTAAAGCGGGGTACTGACGCAGACGGTTCCTGAATGCTTCTCCGACGGGGCTCATGCAAAGTACAATGTGCAGGCTAGCTCGCACTCGACCAATCAAAAATTTGTAAATTGATTCGTTCGTTGTCTGGATGTTGAACTTCTTAATGGCTGGCTCCAATTTCGATTTAACCTATTTCAAAGCAAAGTTTTGTTGATTTATAAAGTTGAATTTGGTTCTTTGCTCTATAGAGTTGGGTGTACAAGGACACACCTTGTTTGTATATATGAATAAGTGAAATGGCTTACGTCTTCAAATTCATCAGGTTTGTACAAGTTGGCGATTTCTCCACTGCTTAACATATTGTTTATTATTTCCAGGAAGCCCTCGTCCAAAATTTGATTATCCGCAAAGATGAAAGATTGAGGTTTGAGTGCTACGCCAGTCAGACCATACAATACTTTCATGTCCTCTTTAAATTCGACGATCCTGTAGTTTTTGTTCACTGTTATTTGGAAATTGCCATATTCGCATACATAGGAAGCCAAGCGGCAAAGTGATCTTCTTCCACTACCGCCTATAAAATATTGTTAAATGCCCACTGACATGGATTTATTGTGAGAATTTATTTACCCATTCCGATGAGCAACATGTTTCCCCTAGACTGCGATATGACGCGAGCAATTCTGCAAACGTGACCGATGGCGTCCTTAAAAAGCACTAAATCCATTGCAACGTTGCCTGGAGTATTGTTGTATTCCTCTAGCTGGGTTTCCAAGAACGTTTTTAAAGTTTCAATAACCGAGTGCTCCTCGTACACACCCCAGGGATTAACAAAATCAGCAAACATCAGTATTTCTTTATTGGCCAGCAAGTTGCTCAGCGGCGCGTCGAAGTGAATTGTCAGTTGACTGTTGATCGTTTTATTGAACCAGTCGCGATCCCTAAAAAATATTCAACAATACAATCGGTCATTCATCGCTTAGATGCTTACTGTTCGTCTATTAATCGATCGGAAAATACTCTGTAGCACTCGTGCAACCACAGCCTAAGCATGGAAGCCTTGTCGTTCTGGTAGTCCTTGTGGCTGCGCAGCAAACCCTGAAACACCTTAGATATGTCTCTCAAATTGAACAAATAATGCAGCTTGGCGGGCGTGGGCAGCATCTTGCCACAAACAGCATTGTACAAATCGATGGTGGCTTCTGTTAGTTCTCTGGAAACCAGCTTAGCCACCTCATCGAAATCGGATACGTGCTGGCTCAACATTGAGCCGAAAATTCTGGCAAGGGTCTCTTCGTCCGGAAAAGTGATGTTGATGAGGTTGAAGCAGCTTTGCAGGCGCTCGGTGATTATATTTCTGCCGCCACCCGGCGGTCCCATCGCGCCCATTACAAGAGTGTTCTGAAACAGCTCGAATTCGTAAAGGAGATTTGTAGTTCAGCGATTCGAGTTACTTCGATGTATTTTCTTGTTTGCTTCAATCTATCGTACCAATACGTATAGTCCATCCACTGTCTTAGTAACTCGAGGGGCGGCTGGGAACCGTAGGTTTCCTTTGCAGGCATGTTCATATCGTCCAAAAAGGCGACGAGTTTCTTTCCCATCGGCGGAGCAAAATGGCCCTTTGTTCGTTTCTCCAATCTGCTTTCTATAGCTTCCTAATATTAAATTGATGTAGTATTAAGTACATTGTTATAAGGAAATAGACGTACTTGTAAATTATTTGAGCTTGTCTGTGCGGACATGTTCACATTCAGTACAGTGTATTTATCCGGATTAAGACCTCGAAGGGCGGATTGTACCACAGAGGTTTTTCCGGTACCGACCGGACCAGTTAATAGTACCGGATTATTGTTTTTGAGAAGAGATTTCACCAAGAAGTCGTACCGAACAGTATCGATTGTCGGTACAATTATTTGATGGAATGGGCAACTGAAACATTGGATAGAAAACATAGTTAAGTAATTGGTAATTAATGGAATATTTAATTTATCACCCCGTCTCGAATTTCCAACCGTACGGTAATTTTTCCGACCACGATACAAAATTGAATGTTTGATGGTCTACGTAGTATTCGTATATGGAATCTTTGACTGGAAATATGCTCTCTTTTTCTCGTATGAAATTGTCAATTTTTTTTCGTCCTTCTTCATCAGTAGTACAACAAACTGACCACATAATACTGTAAAAAAATCGAAGCTATTAAAATTTCGTCAAACCTATCAAACACTTTCTGGATAATTTTATTATCAATAAAGAAAGGAAGCAGAAAAACCAGCATGAATTTTTTTATGTATTTACCAAAAGAGAAACCAACTCTTGGCGGCATCATCGAATTTTTCTTCATTTGCCGGATTTACACCGAACTTTTTATTCATAAATATATCTAGAAATTTACAACACGATATAACTAAGTTCAATTCAGCGGTTTCTGCCTTTTCTTCACAATTCATATGCTTGAATTCCAATATCGTCTTCATATACAGTTGGAATAATTCGTGCATCTGTAAGAAATTTTTTAATGCTAATATACGAATATTCGAGACACAAATCTGTTACCTTTGCCATATACTTTTCGCCGAATTCCTGTTTGCTATTAATCCAGCAGGTGACGTAGGGCATCCAGCCCATATCTTTGTAATCATTATAAACCATTCCGCATCTGCTAACTGTAGCCGGTGAGGCCACAGCTAAATCAGCCACTTCAAACAACAAAGATACTTGCTCGGGCATAGTAATTCTGTCGCTGTTAATCAATGTTAACACTTTATTATCGTCCATAACACTGTTCATGTTCTCAATCCAAACAGCGTCGACGGGACCGTCAAATAGTATCCACTTTTCGATCGGAGATTCATCTGAAATTCCCCTTTTTACAACAAATTTTGAAGCAACAAAACTTTTTACCTGAGCAAGTCGTTCTCATAATAGCACTTATGACTCCGTCCAACCAATCGTTGGTGGTCAAATCGTATTCACCGTATAGTTCGGCTAAATTCAAAGCCTTGGGATTCAACGGGAATACTTTAACCTTCTGGAAACCAGGTTTATTTTGGGCTTGTAATTTCTTCATTGTACACTTCAGAATTTTCCACGTCACAGATTTTGCTGTGCAAGTTTTGCCCAATATCATCGTCGAATGACGGGAATTCTTCGTTTCGTAAAGCTGAATAACCTTCACCATAGCTTTTGCGAACGGCTAGAGAAAAAAATTCACTAAATTGCTTTCGATACGACCAATTAACAAAAAAAAACCTGATAATTATGCTCCTCCATACACTCAGTTATGGCTACGTTCATGTCGATGTAATCCACAACTGGTATATTCACTCCGGGAAAAATATCAGACATAATACCGTTAAACAACGGTAAATCGTCGTAAGTAAGCCGAGCAACGTTCATATCTCTCATAGCCAGAAACGCCATTTGCTCTTCAGGAAGGTTGGGCATCTGTCTTCTCTTCTTGCCGGCGTATCTAAGCAGTGCTACCATGGATCTCAGACCGAAATCGTAGTGGTCCTGTTTACTGAGCTGTTGCATAGCCAATTTATACAACGTAAACACCTATAAATGGCTCAGTGAAAGAAAATGTGTGATGACCACTAAGAGATGGATGGTACACATTAGAGTTTTGCGGTGGGAGGTAGAGGAACTGGAATTTGTTAAAGAGGTGTAAATACCTTTTTGGCTAAGATTTTGGTATTGGTGAAACCATCACTGAATAATACGTTTTCGGCTATAATTCCGCTGTCGGGCACCATCATGGAAATCGGTCTAAACATCGATTTTAAATTGTCGGGTAACTCGGTACGACCGGCGTAACCCGGGTTCATCGTAATGAAAGCGCCAACGGTTAATTTCAGTTTAATTTCAATTCCTAAGTACAAACAAATATGTAGTAACTTGCAATAAATTACTAAATTATACTTTTTTAAATTAACGAATGTAAAAGAGTTACCATCGAAAACAAAGAATTTCAATCTTTGCGATACTGCCGATAAAACGCACAAAATTTGCTGAGCAACTACAGATAACACTTCTATATTGATTCGATTGAATTCATCGAAGCATCCCCAGGCTCCTGTTTGAGCTAAACCAGAAAAGCATTTACCCATACTTTTAAAATCCAAACCTAAAAGATTAATATTTCAACTACAAAGTCTCTTTTAATGATATTATTTCAATACCTTCTGAACAATTCGTAACGATAACCCATATCGACATGGCTTTGCCCAGATCTTTTACCGTCTCGGTTTTACCGGTACCGGCAGGTCCTTTGGGACTTCCCCCGCGGAACAAATGCAGTGCAGTAGTTAAAGTGATATAGCATCTATCTGTTAGAGGAGTTATGACCAATCGACCGGAATTTCCGTTGTATTCGTAACCGTACATAAAATGAGTGTTCGTTTGTCTGATAACGCAATCTTCCAAGTCTCTGTCCCAGTAAAAACGCAATTGAGAGAACCATTCGAATGCGTTGGTGTCGCGACAATCTATATATCGAAATATAAGAAATTTTTCGAATATTTTTATCAATAATAAACCATAATGCGCATTTACTTGCTCTATACAATCTATCGATTACATCTCTAGAGTGAATCTCTATTGTAATGAGTGCGTTTGCTTTGAGACGCAGCAATTTCGACAAGTCTTTCCTACTGAGCTCCGATAATTTGGCCAAAACACCATTTTGCTTCCTCCTCAATTTCTTCAGGGGTTTCTTGGACTCCAAGATTTTTGAGTGCACCAAACCTCTCGTACAATCTGACGTCCATTGAATCTTAAAATAAACAGAAAAGGTAATACTTCAAGTAAATTCTCAGTAAAGTGTCTCACCAAGCTACAAGCATTGCAAAGTTGCCCGCAATTCGTCATCAACCATTTATCTCGTTTATTCAGCATCTTCTTCAGCTCGGCCCTGCACGGTTTGAAGGCGGTCTTCAGTATGAGCCTCATGGCACTCTCAATTTTACACAACCACTGTTCCGAAGGACCGTCCAAAAGGACCGGTCGCACGAATTCCATGTACTCGCCATCGTCAGCGTACATTCCCAGCGCTTCCATTTTCTTATACGCCTAGAGACACGCCAGTAAAATCATCTCACATCAATAATTTTAGTATTTACTAACGAGATTTTTTTCTATCTTCACTTTGTTAATGTTGTCGAAAAGTTTCTTCAGATGCTGCTGCACCATCTCAGGTTTCTTCGAGTTGCCGAGAACTTCCAACACATCGTCGTTGGAGACGAAGTAGAATCGTGGAAAGATGTGCCTCTTCGTCTCCAAATATTTCTCCAAAGCCTTCTGCATCTTGTCCAATTGATCGAGCATTTTGTTCAGTTTGTTGAGCAGGTATGGCGGCGCTTTGAAATGCGTCGCTGCGAGAGCGGACGTCGCGACGTACAAGCGCGTCGAAATGCCCCGCCAGCTGTTGGTAATTTCATCGAATTGGGCAGTTTCCAAGGGCAGTTGTCTTCTGATGTCCTCGCCGTACATTATACTCTAAAATGCCGTTCTCTTATAAGGTTGGTTTTAAAAATTTTTAAATTGTACCTCTAAATACATCCAATCTCTCTGGACGTTAAGAGCTGCTTCTAAAGTTTCCATGATGTAAGACAAAGCGCGCTCCCATTGATCTACTTCTTTTGAAAACGGTTCGACAAATTTCGTGCTTCTCATTACCGATAGTTGCATTATGTTTTCTTCTAATGCTTGGAAACATTCCTCCGTTGATTTTATTCTAAAATTATGTCATCAATCTGTTCATAACAAATGTGTTTGTTAAATACCTGTATAATTTTCGTTCTTTGTATGGCGCCATTTCGAACTTCATGGTGCTCCAAACGCCAGCGACAGCTTGTAGGCCGTTTTCGATTTGTAATTCCATAGTCGCTGCGTACGAGATTTCATTGACTTCCTCAGAAAATCTAACAATAATTTGATTGTGTATACATGAATAAAATTTTTACCAAACTCTTACTTGTGCAACTGTAAGGCGTACACGACTTCTAAATTAAAGTCGTCGGAGGTTTCGTCGAAGTCCACTTCAACGATTTCCTTTACTCTCGACCAATGTCTGGGTCTCATTGCAGGATTTTTTAAATCAGCGATTAACGGTAACGTTCTTCTAAAGGCGTCTACTAAATTTCTAGTTTCGTCGATGACTGTCCATCTGAAGACGTTGAGGCAGTGTTGTAAATGAGCGAGATGGTTTGTATGTTGAATTTACCCTTTTTCTTTAAGTTCTCTCGCTAATTTGGTCAGTCTGCGAAAGAGAACTTGCGCAGTTTCTTCCATTTCCGTAGTTTCGATGGTCCAAAATTGACCGGTTTTCCAGCTGTTCCAAGAGTCATCCCATTCGGTTACCATGTTCCAAACAATTTCGAGCGCTGTTAATTCCTTCAATAAAATAAAATAAATAATTTCAACTAATTAAAATTAGAAATACATCGTACAGCATCCAATCTGGATAAATCCAAATTATCGCCGAAACTCAAGCCGAATATGGCCAAATCGTTTCTGAGCTCTTCGTCTTGTGTCCTCAGATCGGTCAGTTTTTTTCGTACGTCTCTCAAGAAAGTCCACGCCTCAAGGCAAGACACTTCTGCTGTAAACGGCCCGATTCTCATAACATTATCGAACGTTTCAGCAGCCTCTTTTCTGGACAGGTCGGCCTTTTCCAATAAACCGCTCTTAAATCTTTCCTAAAAACAGCATTCAATCGATTATAAACAAATTTACATAATAATAAGAACCTTGAATGGGCTTATAAAATACGTACCACTATAGAAAATAATAAGAAAACTGTAGAATAGAATATTGTTAAACGGAATCAGTTGCGAATATGATTCATTTTTTAGCATCTCTGATGAATACCTTGGAAAATTCGATCATTCTTTCAGCGGTTTCCAACATTTCCAAATACGCCGCCCATTCAGTCGGTATATTTTTCTCCATGTTTCTCAAATTATCTGACACTGGAACATTATACTTATCCAACGTTAAAATTTGTTCGCGTATGGCCGGGAACATCTCCTCTCGCATAGGAATTTCATCTTTCAACAATTCGAAAAGCTCTATGGACATCTGCATTTCATCCAAGTTAGTTGGTTCTTTCATTGCCCTGAAGAATAAAATAGCTGCATATTGATTCACAGTGTGAAAACTCGATTTGCTCACTCTTCGGCGTTGACTTTGGTGTAATTGTAGAAGTTTTTAATTTTCTTCACCGTCATTTTATGCAACAGATTACACATTTTGTCTTGCCACTCCATACAATTGGCGATGATGGATTGCTTCAAATCGGCGCAATTGATTTGAGCGAAATGAACGGCCGATAGGGTTTCTAACATATTGACTTTATTAGCCATCTCCGTGTAACGAGCAATATTAGAATCGAAAACACTGGCACTGGGTTCCTCCTTTTCGTATCTGGCAATGAATTTTTCTTTGTCGACTTCCCAAAGGTCGCGAAAAGGCTCCCAGTTCTTCATGTATTCTCTTAGTTTATCCACGTTGACTCTAACCTCTGAAATATTTTGTCTGTTGCAATTGATTTAAGTAGAAAATTACGCATTTACCTTGGTTCAGCATAACTTGTAATTGTAAGCATTTGTCATCTTCGGAAATTAATTCGCTATAAGTAGCTCCGGTGAATATTTCGCCTTCTAGAGCAAATTTCTGATTTATCCTGGGCAAAGCTTTCAATGAATTGACGAGGCCTTTGTGGATGTTCGAAACTAAAGCGGCTACTTCGGCTAAAGACGGCTTGAATCTTATCTAAAAACATTACGACAGCAATTACATTCACTAAATTCTTTAATCCAAAGGCATTATTTACTCGATTATTGATCAAATTTGCGATTAATTTTATCACTGGATTCGGTTCGGTTGTGCCGTCGCCGTGGAGAGCCTCGAACATTAAACTCAATGTATTCCTGCAAGCGACCTTCAAAGCTTCTTCCAACAGCTTATCGATGTTGTTTACATAATACATCCATTCAGAAGCCATCTAAGCAAAGTTTAAGTAAACATTTCATCTAATTTTCACCTTACTTGCAACTTACGTTTCCAATATTGGGTTCGAAACCTTCGAAAACGAGAATCAAAAGTTCTGTAATTTCAGTGTAGTATTCGCTAAATTTTTTCACCGCCTTCTGCATAGAATCCGACAGCTCTTCTACCAATTCGTTAATATCGTAGGCGTAATTCGCTTTCAAAGTGATCATAACGTGATCGCATATCTGCTCGCTTATTGCTAATATCGTCATATTGCAAGACTTGTAGTCGTCGAGAAACGTTTGGAGCTAAATAAAAAAAAATACATTCCTTGGAGGAAATTGTAGGTCACAAATTCCTTACCTCAGCTGTTGTATTAAAGCAATCGTTGGTGTAATCATCGCCGACGTCTGTAGCCCAAGTCAATCTGGTCAAGCCGGGGCTGATTTTTTTCTCGATTCCATTTATCAACGGCTTGAACAACGTTCGTTCTTCCTCCGAGAGCGACGTGATAATCTTGTTATAGCTCAAAGTCACGTCAAACATGCATTCGTACATTAATTTTATGCTATCGCGTTTGGCGAAGATGTTCCTCAGATACGTAGGAATGGCGTAACGCGTAAAAGACCAGTAGTAAATCTCGTGAAATAGGTCCAACAGCGATTTGTCGAAGTTGCATTCGAGGAGTCCAGAATTGTTCTTGTTTTTGCACATCAACGGTCTGTTTAATTTGGACAAGACGTCTTCTTGCACGGTGTCCAACCATTTCCTGTATAGATTCAAACAGGCGTCGTTGATGGATTTCACCAGTTTTTCGCATTGAGTCATTATGTCTTTAGTTATGCCGCACGGCATCATCCACGTGGCATCCGAAAATAATTTCATTAGCAGTTGCAATCGTCTCTTCTTCATCTTGAGCAGGTGCGATCTGCCCGCGTAGTACGGTACCAGTTTCAAATAGACCTCCGCTTCGGTTTGAAATTCCTGCATCGTATCCATTATTTCGTCTCTAAACATTTTGTACACCTGCAAGGATTACAAGTAGATTAGGATTAAGATAAGTACTCGTATATTTTTACTACTTACCGCCGTAGTTTTGCCCTCAAATAAGGTCAACAAAGTCCTTCTTTTGGTGTAGTTGTGAAGTGCAGCCAACGCTTCTATTCCTTCCTCGACATTGGAGACTTGCTCAAACACGGCGTTCGTCAAATTTTCTATCACAACTTCAATATCTTTCATTCTTGTTCTGAATTTCAAAATGTCATCGTACCATTCCGAAGATTTGACAACCAGTATTCGATGCTTTACCTATAAAAATTGCTTGATGTATTCAACCTCATCTTCTATCTTGTGACATTCCAAAGCTCGTTCTGTAACATTAAAAACAACTCACGCTTTCAATATCCAACAGAGCTTCTTGGAACATAATCTCTATTCGTTCGGCCCATTGGTCAAATTCCTCCCCTTTGGAGCCGCTGAACATCGGCTTGGGTATTTTCTCGGTTTCGTCGAATCGCCCGAAACAGATCATCACTTCGCACACTTCGATCATGTCGTTGCATCTTTTAACGAAGGAATCCACATGATTGAAAATCGGACCTCTATCCAAATTCCAAGGCATTTCGCTGCATATTTCGTGACTTCTAGATATCTGAAATAATCCATTAATTATGTACAAAGTATTGAAATTATTTTTCTACTCGCCGATATGTAAATTTTAATGTATTCTGCTAAAGCGTCCGTGCAATTTTTAAACATGGCGATGGCCTTTCGGGTTTCTTTCGCTTTGAAGACTATGTCCAAGTCTATGTACTTTTGACATTGCAATATAACTTGATTGCTCACGGCTCTGTACAATTGGGTAATCTTCTCCTTCGTGTTGTAAAATGGGCTATGCAGCCAAATGTATCTAATCAAGTGCATGATCTTAGGAATCTTGCCAGCAATTCGCTTCAAATCTTTAACTTCGTATAGCTCCTGGCACGGTTCGACCAAAATATTCAAGTATTCTATGTTCGATTTGGATTCCTCTATGTTCTTCATGATTTCTCCAGCGAACGTTTTGAATTGACGAACGTACGTCGATTGTACCGAGTGCAGGATATCGCAAATATGCAAAATTCCCTCGTTCTTTTGCTGGAAGTCCAAACCAAGCAAGTTCTCATCTGCAATAAGTTGAATGAAAAAAAAAATAACGAAGGCCGATAATAACCAACTTACATCTGCATTTCCAAAATTCGAATTCATCGATAGGACAGAGCAAATCTTCCGGTGTAAATTGGTCCTGGTCCTGCAGGCCGACTCTAATTTGCTTTGTCCAATACACTACAATGCCCTCCAAGCGTTTAATAAGCTCCTTGTCGTTGCAGGCTTCATTAAGAGGCGTTAATAGCACCTCCTGAGGTACATATAATACGGTCAGCCCGTATAATTTAAAGTGGAGATCCGTCATCTTGGCCAGGAACATCTGTAGTTTTTGGCTAAATTCGTTTCGCACGTCTAAGCGATTTTAATTAAGGAAAAATAGTACTTATTTAAAGTTTATAAGGAACGCTATTAAAATAAAAGGATACTATCGGGCCATTTCGAATTAGCAAACAAAGTAGGACCGTAAATATCTCTAACGATATGCAACATGGTTCCATCGATGTTATCGGTAACGTTTCCATATAAGACTTTATCGTGGAAAGTGTCAACGGAAAACGGCTCGGTGTCTTGTCTCATAAAGTACATTAAATCGATTTCGAGCGGTCCGTCCGGTATGCCTATGCAGCATTTCAACTCGACACCTTGGAAATATATGCTCAGCACGGGATTGGAGACGTCCTGAAACCAGTTTTTGATGACGGCCTGGTTGGTTTCGTTCCAGTCGCAATCCTGTAGCCCGAAAAGCATCGTAATGTCTTTCACGTAAGACACCAGCTTCTTCAACTCGGCGTCTGTGTAAACGACTAGCCTTTCTTCGGATTTTTCCTCGACCGCATCGGCTTGGGTCAGATCTGAAAGAGACGGTAATTTTTTTTAGAATGCTGATAAAGCTGGCTGTTACAAGATTCGATTTACTTTCCGCTCCTTCCGAAGAAAACAAAGAATCCTTTTCTCCATACAAGGAACCAGGTGCGGTAGACATGTTGACTTGGAAGAATGACTTTTAAAAATCAATATCAGAAGGTGTCGGTTAGTTTTCCATTTCCATCGTTACTAATTTTTGCTTGTTCGATTTTGTTTTGCCATTCCATAAAGAGTTGATTGGTCAATAATAACTTGGAGACAATTCAAACAGGTTTTACAACAATAGTTGCAAGAATATGCATATTGATATGGTTGTAATGCTGTGTGTTGAGCTGGAGAAGAGCCATTAAAAATTCAAAAATTTAGGATTTATTTGCTTCTTTGTATGCTGCTTAACTTTTGATTATTAGTCTTGTTATTATAAATATGTCGCATATGTCGCATAATTACTTTAAAATCGCATGTATAGAAGTTTTGCAATTTTGGAGTACTTTTCTAAATACATAATAAAAACTTCAACTAATTTTCTATCTTTAGTTTATTCGTTTCACAATAAATAACAAACGAAAATGGTTTTTCCAAAAAAAAATTGTTCCGAAAGAAGTGAGCAGCACTTCGAGTTGACATAAAACCTGCAGATCAGACCGTACACAGGATGCACATTCGTCAATAATAAAATCTAAAAAATATTGAAAATATGTAAGAGAAGAAATAACAATTATAATCAAGTCCCAACCATTTCGATTTTTCTAACTGTTTACAATCGTATACTAGGAAATTCAATTCTCTTCTCTTTTTCTGTTTTAGTAATTATCCAATTAATATTAGGATTTTACTGTTCACATTTTCTCAATAATAAGGAAAATATCCACTAGGGTCATCATAACCAAAAACTGCTACAAAATGATAAAGGTACTTATTAGTCTTGCACGTAGATAAACACCTCATGTGGAAACAGCAGAATACAACAAAGCGAACACAGCTATGCTTCAAGGCAACAAAACTGGCGGAAAATCTCAATTTATCCATCTTCTTCTTCTTATTGTTCTAAAAAAAAAAAAAAACGATTTAATTACTTAAGTTGTATAGTATATCTGTACCAGAGAAGAGATTAGTTAGAAGTATACATGTAATGAATTGGTGGTTACATGTGGACGATATTTGATCTGAAGACAACTTGGTCCTATATAAGAATAAAAGAAGAAATAATATAGAGGTGCCTTCCCAGACAGCAGTTCCCTGTTATTGGGAGTCCTGCTATCTATCTTAACTATACTTTTTGGTAGTTTTACAGCTGTCTTAGCATGTCCATCAGTCCAGCCACTCAGTAGGAGATTGGACTGCCTAAGGCCCTGCAAAGCACTCCAATGAGCGATATGCTGTTTTCTCAACAAAATTTCAGTCTCCTTGCGAATCGTACAGATAAACCAACAGAAGGTTATTGTAATATGTGTAGTACTTGTCTACTCTTGATTTGAATTGTGTATTTTACCTGCGAGTATTCAATCAAAAAGGTACAGGTCTTGTGCAGCGTCCTGGTAACTGCATACCGACATGTTGGAAATTGTCGTCCCCTGCGCCTCCTTCGGCTATAAGTTTCATTCGCAGAATTTCGGCCGCCTCGTATTCCTTCATTTTGATGTACTTGAGAAGTGTCTTCGGTTTCACCCAGTAAAACATGATGAAATCGAACATTGCGTAATTTTTCTTAGCTATTGCCCTTTTAAGAAAATCACACGCCTTTTTCACTTTGAGCTCCATGCTTTTGATCAGTCTTTCCTCTTCGATTTGCTCCTTGAAGGATTTTTGTACCGCGCCCACTGTCGGATCGCAAGGTTTCTTGTTTTTCGCCATCGATATCTATATACGCATTAAAATTGGGGAAGGAATAAAAGTGTAATTAAAAGCGCAATCAAATTTAGCTGCGAACAGTTGCTATAATCGTTTAATACTAAAAATTTTGGAATTAACGAAGACACTTAATTTATAAAACGTTCACAAAATATTATTTTGACATTGAGTAAATTGTAAATAGGTTGAATTGTCTCTTTAGGAAATAAGTGTGTATTCCACAACTCGCCATCTAGTTTAAATGAATGATGATGAAAATGATGAAAGATGAAAAATGTGAATGAACCTTTTTACGGTTTATTTTGGTCTGTATTTATATATAGTTAGTAAATCTTATAGCTTATCCTAAATATTTTTTCTCCAGATTTCCTATTTAATTTAATTCACTTTTGGCCCCATTTACCCCTATTCTATTGAAGAATTACATTTGTTCACACTTCGGTTTAAAATTTAGGCTGACCACTCGTAATGTTCAAGGCTAAAGAAATTAGAAGAGAGAAGAAGAAAAACACGTTAGTAGTCAACTGTCAAAACTGTCGCTGTCAATAATTTTAAGATTAACCGTATTTTCCCGCTATAAATGTATTTTAACAACATTAATTTTATGTTTTAACTTAAAAGTAATCAAGATAAAGTTTTAAAGAGATTATATCATGTCCGGAAACACTGTACACAATTTTATCCACCAACAAATGGGCAATTGTGAGTACATTATTTACTTTAATCAATTTTACCAACTAATTATGGACGCTATGAACAAATTAATTGTGAACAGATAATTATTGAACTGTTGTTTAATTCACTTGTACCAATTTTAGCTTTATGGAAGCATTCCGACATTCCAATAAGAAGGCTTCAAAGCAGAAAGGAGAATTGCTTTTCATATTTACTTCCAGATTTTGATGGACTGGAAGGATTTTTAAGGGACACTCCGATATTTACCTGTAAATTCAACCCCAAACTTAGTAACGAGCACATACTGGCATTGGCAAACGAAGATGGAAAGTTAGTTGTACATAATTGCCGTGATCGTTCAAGGTATTTCTATTACTATAAGTTGCCAGTGATTTATTTACTACGGAATTAAAATGCGTTCTTTTAGATATGGAATAAGAGCTCATAACAACGCGATATTTGATCTCGCATGGACCTCGGACGCGTCGAATATAATCACAGCATCAGGAGATCACACGACAAAATTATACGACGTTCAATCTGGCGAACTTAGGCCTATAAGCACCTTCTGCGGCCACAGTAGATCCATAAAGACAGTGGCTGCGGAACCCGACGATCCAGCCGTATTCGCAACAGGAGGAAGGGACGGAACCATCATCGTGTGGGATAGGAGATTCAATCAAACTGGGAGGTCTGTCGACCTCCCATTTGGCAGCATTAATCACTGCGAAGATGCTAGTCGTTGTTTCAGTAGATCCGATAAAGTTATAATAGACAATTCTCACGCAGTCAAAATGTTCAAATCGAACAAATCGAAGTGCAATAAAACGAACAAAATTAACGCTTTTTACGGAACGGAATCGAATTCATTCGACCCAAACGAATCTCAAAGTAGTCCTACATGCTCTAGGTTTAATTCGAATGAATCTCAAAGTAGCGGTAATCATTCAGGGAATGAACTAAACGGATCACCGAGGAGTATTAATAGTAGGAGGAGGAATTCTAAAAAAACTTGGACTTACTCTTCAGCGAAATCCGTGACAGGATTAGCTTTTCAATCGTCCAATACTTTGATATCTTGCGGTGCAGGCGATGGGGCTATTAAAATCTGGGATCTCCGTAAGCACTACAACATCTACCAAAAACAACCTAAACCGAAAAGGGTGCTACCGTACCCCGGTAACAGCGCGAAAAACGGTTACAGTAATTTGTTCTTCGATAATGACCGGTTGAAACTCTACGCAAATTGCCTCGACAACGTGATCTACTGTTACAATATTAATAATTACGATGACATACCAATCAGCACATACACCGGCCACTCTAATACTACATTCTACATCAAATCGGGGATCAGTTCGGATGGTAAATATTTGATCAGCGGAAGCAGCGACGATAACGCGTATATTTGGAATACCGATTTCACTGAGCCTTTCGTAAAACTAACCGGACACACGGCAGAAGTTACTTCTGTAGCGTGGAGTTGCGGTCAAAACTTCATAGCCACTTGTTCTGATGATACCACTCATAAAATATGGACAGTTGAAAATGAGAATTGGGAAACAAACGATGGAGGAGGAATTGTTGATATTCTGAAGCCAAACAATTCAAGAACTGGTTTTAAACAGACCCGCAGAGTCTGCCCAGATGTGGAAGTTATCAAATTCCATACACATCACTTAAAAAGAATTACCGAGGAACCAGAAGAAGTTCCACATAAAATAATGAAAACCTGCAATAGTTTACCTAATTCTAAAGATCTTTCTCATGGTATTGATGATTTATTAGGAGAAGGGCCGCCCTCCAAGATGGCTCGATTGCAAATATCTTCACCGGTTGGGAACCTTCCGAATTACGTGCTGGATGGGACGGCTCCACATTTGAATCATTCGCCGGAAAAGAGGAAATCCAAGGATTGGCTGACGAGATTGCGGCTGGAGAGGTCTCTGAAAAGAAGATTCAATGAAATGTGCGATGCAGGAAATGAAGTTAGCCCAAAAAAGATTAGAATCGAAGAGAAGAAAAATTCGACCACGAATAGTCCCATATTGAAGTATTTTAAAATTAAAAACGGTTGCCAAAAATGTAATGAAAGGTATTCAAAATGATCTGAGCTTCGATATAAGTTTAATTTAAGTATTCGTTTTATTGTTATTGTTCGCAGAAATTGTATATTGGAAAATCTGTTTATAAATGTGTCTAAACCTTCATATGTATAAAACAAACATTCGAATTACAAGTAACTTTATTATATTTATTATATTTGTGTTAACAAAGGATAATTTATTATTGCCGATTTTCTCTTCAACTTTCGATGCAAGATAATTAGAATAATTTCCAATTAATTGATCATAACTAGAGCTTGGAAAATATGCACTAAAAACCTCCAGAATCATTTACAGCTGTCTAGAATCATTTAGAACTGTCTACTCCGCAGAATGATGTAGAATGCTCCTGAATCATTTAGAATATGAGAAATATGAGAAAAAACCAATTTATCTTTATCGGTAAATGAGGGAGATTTCAAATCTGTTACCTTTGGAGTTATTTTTGTTTAATTTACTTGTTATGAATTCGATTTATTATCCTCGATTGTTGTAAGAAAATAATTTTTCATGGACTTATTTTGAAACTGTTACAATGAATTTATCGCTCTCGATTTTCCATTTAATAGTGCTTGTCGATTAATTATTCAGTCGATTTAACGTCGCCTTCAATTACCTACATAAAACCAAGAAAAAATATGAATTGGGTGTGGTTTTCTTTTATACTCTTATTAAGTATCCTAAATGATTATTGCACTAGTAGCGAAGATAAAATGGGTAAGAAAAATTATTGTTTCTCCATATTAGTAACTACTATTAGAAAAATACGCATAATTCGTCATTATAGCCTTCGGAGGCATCATTGCCAGAGACTGTAATATGATTAAACCTCCGAACGAGCAATGTAAACCAAAAGAAGTCATTCCCATTTTGGCAAGAGAATATTACAGACTCTACTATTTCAAAATGGTATGCAACGCCGTTAATCTCGGAGGTAAGAAATTTTACTCAGTATTTGAAAATATAAATTACACATTTCATTCGATACGATCTATTTAACTACTATTTTTAATTTTAATTACTTCCACAGATAACATCATTGCGGTGCCGACGCTCTGCTTCGAAACCGGCGTCCCGGCGCCCGGCGAGTTCGTGGCCGTCGGCTCTGCGCATAACTGGTGCCACGACGCCCCGGAATACGTGGCCAATAACTTCATGTCCATCAATCGTAAAAACGCCAGCATCACTTTCATACGCCTCTTACCGCCTATGCCGGAGCCATGTCATCCCGTGAAGATCTCCGACCCGGCTTCGGAGCCCCGCATGATGAAGGGTTTCAACTGGAACAGCCGGAAGACGTTCGATAAAAGAGACTCGTATGGTAGGTGCATCCCGAGCGTGCCGAGTGCGCTGTTGTACAGCAGACCGAACGAATTCTGGGGGTTCCAACATCCGAATTGCAAGGATCCCATACCTATTAAAGAATATTTCGAAGAGTTAAATAGGTTGGTTTCGTCGCGTGGGGTACAAACTGCCACGTCAACACAGGATATATTCAGTTCGGAGCAGGGGCCAGCACCAACTACACCAGCAACTAAGTTCTCTGGCAATGATACAGCTGATTTAGAGAATTTAGAACAGCGTTTAGAAGAATCAGAAGCCGAATTGGATAAACTTAAACACGACAACGAAATGCTTAATCACACCGTCGAATATTTGAAAACTCACATAGAAGACGATGAAGAGAAAATACACGATTTGGAAAACAACGTCGATCAAGACAGGAAACATATTAAAGACGATATAGAAGAGATTAGAGAGCAGGAACAGTCGAACCAACAATGGATCGAAGATTTGGAGAAAAACATAATAAACGATGAGGAAAAGTTAAAAGAATTAGAGGATGCAATAAAGCAGTCGAACCAAAATTCCGTCCAATACAACGAAACTATCGAAGATTTGAAACAGCGAGTCGAAGACGACGAAAATAAAATGTCTGATTTGCATCAAAATTTGATCGACGAAAACGGCGAAATCGACGAAATAGAAAGCGACATTGACGAATTGCATGCAGAATTATATGAGGAAAACCAGAAAATCGACCACGTACAAAAAAATATCACAAATCAATCAAATGAGACTAATAAACAAATTAACGACATCATCGAGGAATTGAAAAGTCAAGTAGAAACCGACGAAAACAATATTCAACATTTAGAAGATGTTGTGAATGCAGCGAATCAAAGCAACCAAGAACTAGATAATAAGATTGAAGAGCTAAAAGAACAATTGGACGCTGATGAGAAAAAGATCGACGAGTTGGAGAATATCGTAGAGATAACGCAAAAAAACAGTAATAAAAACGGTATTCTAACGAACAATGAATGCGAAAATTTTGTTCAACCATCAAACTGTTGCATCGAAAATATCCAAAGTTTCATAGAAAATGTCAACGACACGTTGAAGAACAACGCCGAGGAGATAGAACAATTCAAAGAATTCATGAAAACCAGTCAGATTGAAATAACCCATCTAGAACAAATAGTCCGTGAATTAGTTGATACATTTTTCGACAACATGAATAATTGGAGCAAATTTAAAATCGAAATCGACGAAAAATTAGATAGTGTTATCCGCTCTAATGAACAATTGCAAGAATTTGTTGTGAAAACAAATAATACTCTAAAACACTTAAGCAAGTACTTAAACTATTAAATTCATTTGTATTTTACTTAAATTGTAAACTTAACTATACACAAAAATAAATAAGTTATGATTATTTTATGTTTCAGTTATTAGATATTATGCTATTAGATAGATATTAGATCAGATATTAGATATTATTAGGCATTTGCTATACGTGTAAATTTGTTATTATTTTCTTGCTTTCTTTTTAATACCTATAATTATCCTTTCATTGAGGTCGTGTGATATTTCAAAATACAAATTAAATTACTTCTATATAGGGTGGAAACGCCAAACGGAAAAAATTCATTATTTCGGTTACTGAACATATTTAAAGAAAATCCCGAAACACGTCAAATTTTAATTATAATTTGACATTACTCAACGTCAATGTGGACATTCAATGTGCTGATAAACAGCTAGAGGTATACAGCTCGAAGTAAATATCCGATTTTTTTCTCAATATAAGAGGAGATTTTGTGGCCTTGTTATTTTTAAGTTATTTTGGTTTAATTTTCTTTAGTGTTGTATTGTGCTGGATCAATAGAAATTTTGTCGATTGTTATGAAATCAATATTTCATCGAGTTATTTTGAAATTTTCACAATGAAGTTATCGCGCTAAATTTTCCATTTATAGGAAGTGTTTTATAATCATAACTTAGTAGATTTTATGTAGTCTTTGATAACGTAAAATCAAGGAGAAATATGAATTCTATGTGGTTTATGTTCGTACTCTTTTTGTTTTTTAGGCCAAATGGTAATTTTGTAAGTGGCAATCCCCAAGCCAAATCGAGAGCATTAAGTAAGTAAAATAATTTAATTCGCTTCCCTATATTTACTGCTCATCTATTTATTTTATGAAAAAAGATTTTGGAGGCGTCATAGCCAGAGACTGCAACATGGTTAGCTCTTCAGAAAATGATTCATGCATATCAAGAGAAGTGGTTCCCATTTTAGCAAGGCAATATTACAGGCTCTATTATTTTAAATTGATATGCAACGCCATAAATCTCGGAAGTAAGAATTACTCGTAACCCATTACAAACCATTTTTACGAAATATTGCTTTCGAAAGAAACCAGAAGATACGATTTTACCCTCAATTTTCTCTGCAGATAACATTATCGCGGCGCCATCGATTTGCTTCGAATTAGGCATACCGGAACCGGGCGAGTACGTGGCTGTAAGTACTTTGCGTAATTGGTGCTACAACGCCCCGGAACGCGTGGCTAAAGATTACACGATTATCGTTCGCAACAACGTTGCAGTCACCTTCGCACATCTGATACCGCCATTGCCCAGCCCTTGCCGACCCACTGTTATATCGGACGAGGAACAACCCGAAATGGTGAAAGGTTTCGACTGGAGAAGCCGGAAGACTTTCGAAGTGAGGGACTCGTACGATGGCTGCATCAAATACCTGCCGAGTGCGTTGCTATACAACAGGCCAAATAAATTTTGGGGATTTCAACATCCGAATTGCAAGGAACCCATACGTATTAGAGAATTTTTCAAGGAATTTATGGAATCAAATATCACAATGTTGCTAGCAGATACGCCAGTGAGCGATAAAACACCGATCGAACCAAACCTGGAATTGCCTACAACAACGCCAGTAGAAGATATACCAACCACGTCTACCAAAACTACTGAAGCTATAAACCAGCTAGAAGTATCACAAGAAAAAATAGACATTATCAACCACAACATAGAAGATTTGAAAAATAAATTGGAGAAGGATGAGCAGAAGATCCAAGAGTTGGAACATTCAATTGACCAATCAATTAAAGATAACAAACAGGTTAAAAACATTATCGAAGATATAAGAGATCAGGAACTAGATGACGAGCGTTGGATCGAAGATTTGGAGAAAAATTTGTCACAGAATGAGGTGAAGTTAAAAAAACTAGAGAATGTAATAAAAGATCCGAACCAAAATGAGCTCGACCTCAATGAAACAATGGAAGATTTAAAGGAACGATTGGTGGAGGACGAGAAAAAGGTGGAAAAATTAGAACACTCCCTACAGAACGTCGAAGATTTAAAACAGCAGATAAATGAAGAGGAAAACAAGATAGGAAAATTAGAGGATGCTGTGGAGGTAACGAATCACGACAATAATGTATTAAATGAAACACTCAATAAATTGATTTCACGTGTAGATGCCGACGACAAGAAAATCAACGATTTGGAGAATATTATACAGCATAAAAACGGTACAAATGAAAAACTTAGTGATAACATAGATAATTTGAAAACTCAATTAAATACAACCGAAAAAAAGATAGAATCTTTGGAGGATTTTTTAGAAAAAACGAATCAAGACACAAAAGAAAAGATCGACATGATTAAGAATGAAGTACAATTATCTAACGAAACTACTAATAACCTTAACGACACCATCAAAAATTTAGAAGAAAAACTTGATGCTGATGAGCAAAAGATAGAAGAATTAAAAGATATAATAGATTCAACGATTCAAAATAATACAAAATTAAACGAAACAATTGATAATATGAAAGAATTACTAAACGAAACTATTCATAAAATCGACGAATTACAAAATGTTGCGTTTTCGAACGAGAGTATCCAACAAATCAATGACACAGTCAGAAATTTGGAAGAACAAATAAATAATAGCACAAAGAATATGGCGAGGGTGTTGAAAGATGTTGAATCTAATTTGACGTATAATTGGGCGGAAATTATAGAAGATATTATAGAAATGATAGATGAAGAACGTACGAAAGACGAAGCCAGAAATAAAATCATCAGCGATATTTTAAAGAACGTAACCACAATCGAGAACAATAAATGCAGCAAAGAAGAATGCCAACATTTTGATGAGAAACTAAACAATTACATCGAGAAAATTGAACAATTTAAAGAAAATGTAAATCTTTTGATGAAGAACAATAACGAAGAGTTGGTGAAATGTAAAGATTCCATGAGCAGCACTGAGAAAAAAATTGTACATTTGGAACACGTAGTCCATGAATTGTTAGAAAAATTTGAAAATAAATAACATTTTGAAAACAGGTAATACGAAAAAACGCTTGAACAAGTATACAGTGTATAGTTAACTAAATTATTCATTTATTCGTTCAAATTTAAAACAAGTTACATAAAAATAGGCAGTATTGTTAAGTAGTTAAAATGTTACAATACTTTTAATTTATTTAAATAATCAACTAACCATTTTTCTGAGCTCGGAAACCTTATTTAAGCACATTTAATTACGTTTTTTGTAGTATATAACTACATTATTTAAATAGATTTTATTCATTTATTCTTTCTCTTTGCAGGTAACGTTTCTAAAATTTAAAAAATGTCTAAATTAAAATTATCTAGGTACCTGTATTGTTGTTTACGATCTAATCTACAAAACTTGTATAAATTATTTTTCTCTTATTGGAAACGAGCTTATTTTAAATTAGAAATAAATGCCTCAATCCATTAAATTTTGTCATTTCAAATGTATGTTAACTACAATTCTGATGTACTCATATTTAAATAAGCAGTTAAATACAGGGTGTTCCAATGAAAAGGACCTGCACCTGTACAGGGTGTTTTATGATAATTCCCTATTTTCACATTAATCAAATTTTATCAAATGGGAATGTTTTGTAAAATAACAAATACAAGTAATACACTATCTGCAAAAACCGCAATTTTATACTCTTAAATTTAGTTATTTAAAAAAGCTCTTTATAAATATAAATTCCTTTCATTTTGTCTTATCTATTAATTGAACTAATTAATTAGCCTATAGGTACCGTTGAATAAATAAATAAAATTGTCTTGCTAAAACCCATTTGCAGCAAAATCCTCTTTTAATTGCCGCCTCAAGATTTTTCCCGTTATATTTTTGGGTATTCTTTCTAACAATCTAACGCCGCCTTGTAATCGCTTGTAAGACGCCACTTTATCTGCCACATGATTTTTTACATTTTCTTCCTCTAATGAAGAATTTTTCTTTGGTACAACGTAGGCTCTCGGTACTTCACCGTGTTGAGGGTGAGGAATGCCTATAACAGCGGCATCATCTACAAGGGGATGATCGCGAATGATGGCTTCCAATTCAGCAGGAGCCACTTGGTAACCTTTAACCTAAAAGTGGAGTATACAATATCGATTTCTGTGAAAGATTGACTTTGTTACCTTTATCAATTCCTTTATTCTGTCTGTAATAAAAACAACATTTTCGTCATTGTAATATCCTATATCACCTGTTCTGAGCCAGCCATCTAAAAATGCTTTCTTAGTTTCTTCTTCCCTGTTATGGTAACCCTTCATTACTTGCGGACCTTTGATCAGGAGTTCACCTTTTTCATAAGCAGCTATTGGAGTACCTAGAAAATATTCAAAATTTCATTTGAAATTTTGTTTACTTCTATTTGTTATTTACCTGAAGGGTCCTCAGGATTTATAAATTTAACCATCGTGTTGGGCAATACTTTGCCAACGCAACCGCTATTTTTTTCCGAACGCATCAAATTATTTGGTATCATCGTTATTTCAGGAGAAGTTTCGGTCAAACCATAGGCTAATAAAACCCACAATAATGTGTGAAAATTATTTGATACAAGCAAAATTTTAATGCAAACCGAAATATAAATTAAAGTGAAACTCACCTTGGCTCATTTTGATTTCTCTTCCGACTTTTTTGATGAACCTTTCTTCGTCGGTGTGGCCTAAAGGAGCAGCGCCTGACATTAACATTTTCAATCGATCAAAATATTCAGATTTGACTTCGGAATGTGAAGTTAAAAATAAAACTAGAAGAAATTAACAAATATTAATCACATTTTTGCAAACAATCATCTCCTTTTACTAAAGTATATGTTTTAAATTTCCACGTCATTAGTAAGTTTAAAAGTAGTTTTTAAAAGAAATTATATTTCAAAAACAAACTTTTTTGCTTAGGTACATAAAATATTCATAAGTCAAATGAATAGCACGTTACATCTTTTATTTTTATAGCTCTATTATGCTTATAGATCTAGGCATTACCTAATGGTGGTGCAACGTATAATAGGCTGGGACGATGTTTTTTCAGGGCGGAAACGTAAAGTTCAGG